ATTTATCTCCAATTACATAACATCAGTCTGTCTATTGCAAGCAACTACATGTACCAACACATTTAATAAAGAGTCGAACGATTTCCGTGCTACGGGTAGAATCGAACTAGCACAGCCCCATGCCAGGGCAGGATAGCCACACCACACAAAATCCCTTAAGCTTCGAAGTGGTGGGCATGAGCCGATATCAAGCCATCACATTCAGATGGACTTGGATTATCCTTCTGGAGATATCCTCGATGAGCTCTTCACCTAAGTAGGCATGATCAGTTTGCATTTTGAAACTTAAGGTGGCCGTCTGGTTGGTCTTGCTGGTTAAAAGCAAGGGAGGATGTAATGACTTGGTAGTCACCATAAAGCCAGCAATCGTACACGAAGAGCGTGGTCTGTAGATAATCTCCAATGTAGAAATCGAAGTTGTGCTTGTTGTTGGGGTTTGTGACTATGAGCTTCAGCTCCCATTTGACGGTACACTCGGGCCCAGCCGCGCTGAGTCGGGAAACGGTAACTGACTCGACACTTGCTTCCAATGGTTCCGGAAAAGGCGAGTAAGCCCTATATCAGATGAGGATGAAGACCACAATAAGAGCAGCTACACTGCCCACGACTAGGAGGGGTTGCCGGTTATAATGTCCTCATTGTTGAATAAATATTGAGAACGAACACTGATGACTTCATGACGATGAGCTATGTGGATCGATCAATGGCAGTGGGAGAAAAGTTGAACAATAAGGGCCATGGGACAGATAATGTTAGGTCATGTCGAAGGTTAAAAGCTAGAAAATAGTCTAATTTGCTCAAAAATTCATCTCCAAAGGGGCATCAGGCTAGCCAAATGTGGTTTTCTTCTTAACCTTTTTTGAGATCCAACTATTTAATTGCAATAATTGATTTGAAACTAAATTGTTAGATTTGAAAATATCCAAAAGTAATTTAATTAAATTAACTATAAATTTAAAGTATAAACATAAAACTAATAAATTATTGAGGGACTATGTTTAGCGCCTTCGGTTGATTGAAGATGGTATATGAGTATGGTTTGATGCTGTTTGTTTAAAAAAAATTTTTTACAGGATTATATTTACCCCTTTCGGTTAAAAATGGGCTCAAGTGTCTATGGTTGGTACTTAGAGAGTAATATCCTATTCTTTGGGCCATTCATAGTAAGCTCAATAGGCGCCCCATTTCTAAGAGCATTGTTGGAACTTTTAATATTATTATATTAAATTAAATAGAAATTAGAAGTTGTGTATTTTGTTGGAAATATACGTTTAACATAATGAATAATAACTTCTAACTCTTGATAAATGGTCACATGTTTTTCAAAAAAATATCTCAAATCTATAAATAGGGAAACCTCCTATAATCATAAAATCAATATTCATATTCATACATATAGTGCATGAAAAATTAGATAGTATCATTGAGTCTATATGAGAGTGTTTTCAAGACAATCATGATTCATTCGAGCCTTATGATTTGGAGTGCTACTATTACAAGGAGGTGGTCGTTGTATCCCGAGTAACAAGCGTTAACCAACCGTGAACACCATGGTGGGGCGTAAACTTATCTTAAGGACAGAGTGTTCAACACTTGTCTTGATTGTATTTCTAGGTTTTTCTAATCTATTATGTCATGTTTGTTTAACATTGGTTAATCATGTGCATGCATTACTTTGATATATAATTGCATAAATTATTTCTTAATTTTTTATGTGATTTAATATAGTAATTAGACCCTATTGTTCCAACCACCTGAAGACAAGTTTAGATTTGGTTGCTATAATTTTGTCATCAGTTCCAAATTGGCATTACATAAGTGGTAATTCATAATTACTTCTTGTCACGCCCCGATCCTAAGATAGGTCTAGGATCCACACGTGACGTCATCACATACCCTTTCACCCGAATCATTGTGTCAATTGTAGTAATTTTTCTTTTATCATATGGCTGCATCTAACCTCTGTGTTAGACTGTCTACGTACCCTAAGACGAGATCTAGCCATTCGTAGTTCCCTAACATATCTCGCGTTATTGCGAAGTCTGATAAGAATTCTATCTCATATCAAAGCAAGCCATAATCACACCAATGGACATCCAACAAAAGCCTTAATTCGATTGCCATTCATGCGATCCAATTATGTACACAAGTAATCAACCAATGAGATAAATAATAAGATAACATTCCACGAAGTTTAGTATAATCAAACTCCGAAAATGTCTATTGTATTTCCTCTACATGGATTCCTAAGCGTTGCTCTCAGTTACTAATACAAGGATCCACCAACTTGGCCAAATCCATTTTCACAATATAAGACATTACTAAATGCATGAGATGAACTTTAATCCTAGTCAAAGTACTTGGAATACTAATTTAACAGTCCCCAATTCAAATGCCATTTTGGTTGAATAGCTTCATCACTGCCAATACGTTTGAATGGAAATAATTCTGGACTGTAAGTGATTATGTGTTTCAATAGGCATAAGTGCACCAATACATTAAGTCACTGAGATTATAATTGTATCAGAAAATGGTTCTTTGAAACCCAATACATAACCATATAAAGTGATTTAATAAACTCAATATCGATAAGTAAATTAGAATTAAAATTTAGAGAAGAAAGAACATTGCAAAGCAGCAACCTCTTCTCCACAAAAGCTGTAGAAAAGCAGTTTAAGTCAACCAAGATTAACCTAATTTTGAACACTCATACCTATACCGGATGCAAACTTACATGGGTTTCGAAGCTTGTTTTGTGTACTTCAAAAGCATAAAAGATTTGTAGAAAACGGGATTCTAAGTTGAAACCCAGTATTTGCTGCTGTCTGGCAGCTTCCGGACTCAAGTTTGAATATGACTTTGACATATCAATACTCAATGGAATTAAGTGAAATCAGATGGGTATTGATCATGGACATGTCTAGTTTTAAACCACATAATATTGGCTCAAAAGGAATCCATAAAGACATAGAAATTAAGAGCCAAAATAGGCTACTTGAAATGTAGTTTTTGTGAAGAATCAATAAATTTCCTGCAATTTAGAACCTATACTCTTATAATCCAAATTACATTTTCAGAATGCTTCCACACATTTCAGAATTCATGTTTATAACTTCGATTTCAATTATATTCAACAATTAACAAGACTTGACCTTTTAATCCAAACCCTAGAACAAGATATTTGATTACAACACCCAAAGTATAAAATTGAAAATAATACGAAAGATTGGTACAAAGCAGCTGTGGAAGGAATAAAGAGAGATGGGAATGGTTACCTATGCTGCAGTCGGCAAAAGCAATCACATTTCTGTTATGGTTCAAACGACATGGTTGTACACCTTTTCTCTCAGTTTCTAGTAAACATTTTAATTCCTTATTTTCTCTTTGCTTCTCCTGGTGTCTTCTATATTTCCTTCGACTTCTCTCAAAGATTCATAGTTTCTATCCTTGTCCCCCTTTTCTTTTTTCCGCTCTCTCCCCCCTTTTCTGATTCATCTCCCCTTCCCACCCCCCCCCCCCTCCCTTTTCCCTAACCACCCCCCCTTCCCCAACCACCACCCCCCCAGCCCCCCGGCGGCCGCAAAATCCATTGGCCAACGCCATCTCCCCCCTTTTTTGCTTCTCTCTTCCTCCCCCTTCCAGATGCCTCCTTTTTCCCCCCTGTGCTTTACTTTAGTTAAGATTTATATTATTATTAGTTTTACTCTTGAAATTTAGAATTACAAGAATGCCCTTAGCATTTGTGTTTCGTAAAATCTTCATTCTAATTCTAATTTCCTCTCCACTTGCGCTCGTACGCTCGTATCGATGAGTACCACGAACATGTGCTAAGACATACGTATCACGAGTTTAATGGTCAACAAAAGTCAACACTTTCTCCTCTAGAAGTATTTTGGACACAACTCTAGAAGTCTTTCTCAGTTTTATCTGCCGGAGGGAACACAACTCTTACATATATGATTTCAAGTTTTCCCTTTAGAAATTCAAGCTCTGTTGAACACATGAGGTGTAAGAAACTGTTTGGGATATTTTCAAGTTTTTATGATTCCTGGAAAAAAAACATGCTTAAGGGTAATTATATTTTAATTTTTATTGAATTCAGGTAACCATCTTTAGGTTTTTTGCTTTGATTTGAAGAATTTCTTACCCACGAAAGCCAGGGCTTCGTGATGAGTTCTCTGGGTTCCATATTTGGCGTCTTTGTTTTGTTCAAATTTGGGGCGTTTATGATTTGGGATTTATATACTCTCTTATCAACTCTTAATGTTGAATTAGGCAGCTACTAATGTTGGATTAATGAAAGTTGGGCATCAGTTCATATGTTTTTCAATGTTTCTATTCCGATTTAATAACGTGATTTGGTAGTGCGATGCTGATTTAGGCTATGAATTCAGAGGCTTTTGAATAGCCAAGTTTGCAACACGGATTTCAGAGGTTGTTGTATCATTAGCTGAAATATGCTACATATAATCCTTAGACATCATTTTTCACCTTGATTAAGATGTGCGCCTACCTTCTCAGTTTTCAGCATTGTAGATGCGGGTGGTATAAATTTTTACTTAAAAAATTGAGCTCGAAATGAAAACCCAGGTGAAAAATCATGGAAACAACTCTTGCGTAGAAATGATTTCTGGGAATGAATTTTCTTGAGATTTGATCCCAGCTATTTGATAAGAGTCAGGTTTTATAACTCAAACCATTTCCAATAACTATTTGGTAATAGGATGAATAATTAATCTTAAAAAGTGAGTTCATACATATGAAATCATGTTTAAGCTAACTTTTTCCCTTATGAATATTTCTTAATCTGATAGGCTGATGCTTGGGTTATTGAGAATTTGGCCTCGGTAGCAAAATATATGTCTGCCCAAATTATGGGACACGGGTGTAGTTCTTATTTTGATAATTTTTTCTTCTCTCTTTGATACTTTTCATGTGTATTCACTCGGGAAAAATACTTGAGTCTTCATTAATGCTGCAGGATATATTTTCTTCTGCAGCCATAAAATCTGTTACAGATTTCCAAGTGTACAAGGAGGTTGTTGGGTTGAATTCGGTTGCACAGATAACGCTGCAGTATACCATACAAAGGTTTCATTTCTTTCCTTTTGCCCCTTTTTTGGGATATTGGTTACAAAATCTGTTTTGAGCATGGGTGTGAAATTTACAGTAGGGGTTAGTAAGTTAATTTCATTCTCAATGTACACAAATGTTGTTCTTGCATTAATTCATTTTCTTTTTATTGAAATTGAATAAAACTAATTCTCCTTGATATCCACTTATTCTGCTAAGATATGCAATACAAATATCTGCTATCTCCTACCTGTAAACGTATGACCTAAAATCATTTCATTGAGAAACTGTGCCCATGGTCTTGATTTATTTTTGAAAAGTTGTATCTGATTTTAGTTGTTAAAGTCAGTAATCAATTCTGCTTAGATTTTTTGGTAGCGTAAGTACGTCTACACACATCCCTAATCTTGCACACACACTGCATCTCTGTCACATTGGTGAACTATGGTATTGTTTGTTTTAATTAAGAGCCACCGAACTAGATATATCTGATCCATCTTTTTTCGCGTATCATATCACTTTTAGACCTGTTTGATTGAATTCTGCCATTTACACCAAAATACCTAAACAATGACATCAAATTTTGAACTCAAAAATCTAATAACTTTACTACATTTTCAGTTTCATTCAATGACACTTCCTTTTCAATTACTTTAATTTTAACATATTTCACTTTCTTTAGAATCAACCAATACTTTTTCTTACGTCACCAAACAATTTTACCTTATTATATCCAATTTGTATTTATGTTGTTTTTGTCATGCTCTATCACAATATATCAGTTACTTTAATAAATTTAGTTCTAAACGTTTTCAACATAGATGATCTTACAAAACTCACTGATGTACTTATCTAATTTTTAAGTTTTCAGTATTAGGCAGCTTTGATCTTTGATTTCAAATATGTGATTTTGTCTAATTCTTTCTGATCCTCAATTTCTATTGTCGTAATGGACATTCTTGAATCACATTGGTTAACACCAAACAAATGGTATGTGTCATATTTCTCTTTTTCTATTCCTTTACCTTCATACAGAGTTTTGTTTGAATGCCATCATTTTCACAAGCCCTTGTACACCCTTGATTCAAACTTCATCATTCTTTAAATATCTGTTTGTATTATGCTCACATATTTTGTAATCCCCCATCAATGTGTGGACACTATTTCTAGTTTGGCTTCTATATGTTAGTCTTCCCATGTCATGTTTGTTAGATATATGTCAACAATCTGTGATAAAATTATACATGCTAATAAATGATAAATGCAAATAGGAAATTAACAGAGCATAAACAATGAAATAATATTGAACAGAAATATTGAAGATTGAGGCTTGCGTACTGTAATGTCCTTGAAACAGAAATTTTGTCCCTACTCAGTGCTTGTAGTTCGACGGACATCTGCTTCATCAGGATTCAACGATCAAGTCAGAATTCTAGCATCGGAAAAATTGATTTCTGGCGAATTTCTATGTGGTTCTCTCAGTAAGGATGTTTTGAATTATAAAAGAAAAATTATTTGTTTTGTATTCTAAATGCCATGCAGAGGAATGTATATATAATATGATTATAACTGTTCGCAACAGGTACGAGGAAGGGATGCATCTGTTGGGAGACATCTTCTTAGAGGGGTGTTTTCTTTTTGCGTTTTTTCACACTTCAAACTTCATCTAAAATGATGAGCCTGATGGTAAAAAAATAATTACTTAAATCCGAAAATAATTAATTAATTTAATTATTGGGGCTCTTGGGCTCTAATAAATATGATTACTGGAAATTTGCATTTTAGTTTTTACTTTTGATAAATAGCGATCTCGAAATTATTCCCGAAAGAACAGAAAACTGGAACAGGGTTGCAGAGGATCTAGAAATGAAATCTGGCACGAAGTATTGATGGATATCTGAAAAGAAATTTGCAGCAACGCTGGCTGAAGCTCCGACCTAAGTGAAAGCAACACTGGCTGACACACTGATTAGCATAAAAAAATAGATCAGCAACAAATTAGATTAGCATAAAAATAGATCAGCAACAAAATGGCAACTTTTAAACTGGAAAAGTAAAGGATGTGCATTCATACCCGATCAGTAATTAAGATTAACAATGCTTAGAGAGAGGGAGAATTATCTACACACCGTGTCCAACTAATTAGGAAACCACTGATCTAGCACCTTGATACAAGATGAATATCCAATTATTTATGGATGCAAGTCTGAGAAAGCTAAATAGATGCCATACCCTGCAAGCTAAGTAGTGCTAAAACTCACAAATATGAGAACGCAGAAAGACAAAAAAGTGAGCTTGAATCCCAAAGCAGAAAAGTGATCTTTCATTCCTCCTTCAGTTGTGCACAAATCACACCATTATTCTCATATTAAAGTGCAGAACTCAACACTGGGCATCGAATAACAAAGATAAAATTCAAATAGTCAACAAAATTACTTAAAGCAGGTCAAAGAAAATTTACCATCCCCTGAACGATAACGGGCCAACTCTTGGGCCGTAGAAGCCATCCTTCGAAGAACTGCATTCATCTAGATTACAATGAAAGAACTACAAATCTTCTGAAACTTTAAGTAGCAATAAACTTCTCAAAGTACTATTCTCGTTAAAAAAAAAAATGATCAAACTCCGTATTCACACACTGGCTCTTTGTACACACAGAGGCAGGTTCAACAGCAAACCTCTGTTCGCAAACAAGTCACTAATCATTCGAACGCTCATTCAAATGCTTGCAAATGGACATTCACATATGAACGCTTCTACATATGTATATACATAAACTATGAGCAAATGTCTGAAAAACCAAACCCAATCAAGCATATTACAAATACCAAAAGAACTAAATGCGCCAAACTTATCAATAGTCGTTGTCTCAATTTTCCTCGCCAAAAATACCTAATAAAGGGCTTTTCCAACTTAGTCAAGAAAATGATGAAATCCACTTCAACATTTGTCACAAATGCGCAGTTTGGTTCAACGATTGTGGCTATTCTAGAAAGGGAGCCTTATTTTTTTACTAGTATACCTGCAAAGTATACCTGCAAAACTCTTGCAGAAAGGCTATCGTCTATAGTTGTAAGATGCCTCCTGACAGTAGATGCTGCAGGAACTCGAGCCCGTTCCCCTTGGATCAAGGCAGAAGCCTGACGAGTAAGCATATCAAATTGCGAATGCAGATGTCTAAGCTGTGTCTGCGAACCGAAAAGCTTCTGCTTTATAGGCCAAAGTTGCATCCTTAAGGAAGAAAAGAAGTCCATAAGTAGTGGGAGCAGGATACTGCAAGCATCATCACTAGGCAAAAAAATGATTATGATTCTGTAATCCAATAATGGTACGTCTAAAGATACAAAATGTCCATATCATACTGAACCTAAAACTATGTTTACTAGATAAAGTGAAGTTAGAAGTTAGAACCAACTCGATATGCTGTTAAATTAGGAACGAGGGTAAACTGCAAATCTAACACATGCAATGTTTTAAAAGGCTCGTCTCAGGGCACACCTAGGTGCCCTGTGAGGTTGGGCTTGAGGGTTGCCTCCTTTATTTTGAGGGAGTGGGTGTAAGGCGTCGTCGGAGCTGCCTAGGTGGCGGAAGGTGCGCCTCAGGGTTTTTTTTTTTTTTTTTTCTTTTAACTCCCAAACCGAAATTTTGGATAGGATTTTAATTGCCTTATATCTCTTCCTTACACTTTCGTCTCTCTGTCTTTTTCTGATTTTTATTTTTTATATAATGGATGTGTGTGTTGTCTGCATGCATTGTTATATATGTGCTCATTGTATTTTTCATCCTCTATTTTATACATATATAATATAATATATGTATATATAAGTGTGTATATATATTTATAATTTATGTATGTGCTCAAGATGATTATTGATTAATAATCTTCTTTTTTATTAATATAATATATGTGTACGCTCAGTCTATATATTAAAAAATTTAGGTTCCGAGGAACTTCGCCTCACGCCTAGGCTGGGCTTCCCCTCGGACGCCTCACCCACGCCTCATGCTTTTAGGTACCGTTTGGTACGTGGGACGAGACGAAACAGAGTGGGACAAGGCGTTCCATCCCACGTTTGGTGAGCCTAAAACAGGTGGAACGAGCTGTTCCACGGGACGAGTTTTGGGTGAATTTTCGTTCCACCTCACCTCCCTGGAACGACTCGTTCCACATCCGTGGAACACAAAATTATAACCACTCCGTCTCCTTCTTCTTCCTCCTTGTTTCCATCCGAGGGCATCTTTGCTCCCGCTCCGTTCCGTTCCGTTCCGTCCCGTCCCGTATGCATACCAAACGATACCTAATACACTGAACACATGAAAGAAGCTTTACTGAGACCTATTTCGCAGTCATCATTGTAATTTCCAGTCATATCTTATACTAGAAACAACGTGTCACAAAATCCTTACTCTGGCTGATTCCATCAAGTACAAACAAGAACTTAGCTAGTACCAAACAACAAGCATAAAACTGAACTCAACCAGATCCAAAACTCTTTCACGCTCTACTTACCCTCAATATCTATTCATCTTCAATGTAAAATAACGAGACACCCAGAAGCTACTTTCACCAAATAGAAGTAGCCCTAATATGCAAAAGACCAAGCATAGATTTTTCGTTATACCGACTACAAAGAATTTTGTAGGCATGCTAGTTCTCTGCATGTACGTTTATCCCTTCCTTAAAACTCCTCCCTTCTCGCTATGATATACCCGCAGGAAAAACGAAAGAAATGAATCAAATAAATGATACCCAGACCAAGGAATTTTTTATGCTGCCAAAAGATTTAGCAAAAACGAAAGAAATGAATCAAATAAATGATATCCAGACCAAGGAATTTTGTATACTGCCAAAAGATTTAGCAGTAACAGGGTCAGCAGGGATCCAAACACATAGCAGTTGACAAGAAAGAAACTGCTCCCACCCATTGTCCTCACTTCCTTGTATATTTTCTTAAAGGAAATAAACGGATTTAAGTAAATAATAACAACAATTGGAATAATGGATTTACCTATCTTTCGATTTAGTACGAAGGATGGTAAAATGAGCAACTCTCTAATGGGACACCGAACTCAACCGAGTTTCTACAGGGATATCTTATTCCAATTCTGTTTCTATGATTACTAATCTAATTGTACAAGAAAACGGGTGCGGTTTACAACGCTACCTCTAATTAAGGGCTCCTATTCTATATGGGATAGGAAAGTACACATGTATTCTTATTCCAATTCTGCTTTTAAGATTCCTAATCTAACTGTATAGAAAACGGAGGTGAATTGTCTGCCCTCCTATTTCTATATTCTCTTCATGCTTTCCTATGATGTGTGGTCACAGTTAAGTCACGTCAATATTTTATATTAATTTTTTATAAAAATAATAAAACAAAAAGTAATAGGAATATAAAATGTTGACGTGACTTAACCGTGATCACACAAACACAAACATGAGAGCATGGGAAGAGTATGGAAATGAGAGGGCAGACAATCCACCTCTATAGAAAAGATAATTATTTCCTAATGCTAGTTTACAGGAGCAAATTAAAGAGCTTAACGCATCAAACTTTTCAATAATCGTTGTCCTCAATTTGCCACACCACCAATGTCTAATAAATTGATTTTCCAACTTAATCAAGAAAATGACGCAATCCATTTCTAACTTATATCTTCACACACGATTCACATACAAGGGAAGAGAGGAAATGTTAATGGATGGTCGGTGCCTGGTTTTGGTGCGATTAGTTACTTGATAAGTTTCGGATTTCTCCTGACCAAGTGAAACAAAAACGAAGAAAAAACTCAACACACAAAGCGACAGATGCGGTGGCAGTAATAGAAAGGAAGATGGAGAAAACAAATTTAACAAAAACCAAGGTCGTAATTTCTGAGACTAACATAATTCATGAGTCATGACTACTTATGCCAACGTAAAATGGGCTGGAAGGGCAAAACCACTCCTTGTTTGGCTTGATTATTTGCAGCATTAACAATTCCTTGAGCAAATTCTGACATGCATATTATCAATACATTCATACATATATATTAGACGAAGTAAATAAGTTGTCAGCAAATCATAGAAATATGATCCAAAACGGCTACTTCATCAAGTGTATATAGCATGTGACCTCTTTCAATATCGGTAGAAATATCCATGATAAGATCCTCAAGAAATATAATATGTCTACCTTCTAGATTCAGTTATCGCCTCCTCTTACTGTCAGAGTTAGACATCATTCTCAATTAGACTTTTAGTTTCAGAAAGAGCTGTCATTGAGTTGAAAACAAAATACCTTTCCAACTGTGGATTTCAATGGAGCGGTTGATAGGCAGTGCAGAGGGATTACAAACTTTGTTCAGCTAACGCAGTTCACCAGCAAAGAAAGAATAAAGCTGAGGTATAGTGAGACACAGGAGGGCTTACTGTTAACGAGCTCTATCTTGAATCCAAGAAGTTCACCGAAGCAACTGTGCTTTGTGTATAAAAATATAGGTTAAACACAGTATCCTCGTATCTGTACGACTGAAAGTCAGATGCAATAGTATGAACATGATCAACTGATCAAGAGTCTATTAACAGTGCTTCCTGGCTAGGACAACACTAGTGGCAATGTAAAGACACAAATTGTTCCTAATCCTTGGACGCAGTTGGTCCCTTGATTGACAAAAGAACAACAAACATGATAGCAAAGCAACATTTCACGAGACTAGTAAAACCTACTCATTCAACAAAAGAACAACAAATCGCAGCATTGCAATGCCAACACTTCCAATTCAACCCACAGAAAGAGTTAGACATCATTCTCAATCAGATCACTTTTAGTTCCAGAAAGAGCTGTCATTTAGTTCCTGAAGCTGATCGACTTATTTTCTGCAGAAAAATCGAACGGAAGTAAACAAAAATAAATAAATAAAAACTAGTCATTCAACAAAAGAACAACAAACAGGATTGCAATGCAACATTTCCAATTCCAGTCACACACAGCAACTCCCATACGACACTAGTGAAACCTACTCATTCAACAAAAGAACAACAAACCGCAGCATTGCAATGCCAACATTTCCAATTCAACCTACAGAAATCAACTTCCTCCATACGAGACTAGTAACTGCTAGTTTGTTAACAAAAAAAAAAACGTCTACAAGTTATTTCTTAGTAATAAAAATCCTTTGCCTCGTAATAATAGCATTCCGTCGACTGACCCTCCTTAACTGTCGAAATCCCAGTCCCATGATTAACATAATTGACCGGAGAAACCCCAAAATCGACCACTCCGTCGCAGAAGAGCGCTCTAAAATCCGACACAATGCCGATACCCTTATACCAAACCTCGAGCTTGAGACCAAATCTCACCAGAGCGCCAGAGGCAGAGCCAGGGGCGCTAAGCCCTTGCAATATTTCCTGGGACACATTTTGTCCCACGTACATCTCCACCGCTTGGAGTTGGAAACTGGCTGTGGCCTGGTTCCTCTTGCTTGACAACAAGAGACGCGGCCGTATCCCCACCGGCTTCACTGCCAGCATCATCATCCTCTCTTTGTCCCCGTAGAAGATGTACGCCATCAGTCTCTTGATGTACATGTCCTGAACTTCGCCGGGGTTGCGGTTTGTGGCCACCAGGGACAGGTCCCAGGTGGCGGTTAACTGGGACTGAGTCGCGTTGAGTTGGGAGACGATGGCCGATTGGACTCGGAAATCAGGGCCATACGTTTCTGTCCGCCATGCGACCAAAAGAACTATTAGAACGCAGATCGCCACCAACAATGGCCACAGCAGCCAATTTGGCCACAGCAGGCAATTTAGTGGTAGGCCTCTAGGAGGCTGAGCCGCAGTTGCTTTGATTTTTTCTTCCTCTTCACCGGCCATACCGGCCATAGTACCTGTAAAATTAAAAATAAATAAATAAAAACCCTTAAATTGTTCAATAAACATTGTAAATTTTTACCAAATTAACATATGTATATGTAAATGGTATTAAATGATCTGTTGCTTTTTGATATTGAAAACCCGAAACCTCCATTAAATTTTTTTTGAGAGAAAGACCTATTAAAATTTTTACGTATTAAAAGTTAACGAAAGTCTATTAAAAAAAAAAAAAAAAAACAAATGATATACACTAGCCCTGCTGCCCAGTTGTGTTTTGGATTAGGATTGTGGGCGCAAATCGGAAATCGAAGGAAGACGAAGAACAACTTGTGGTTAGGTTTATCGGTTTGAAGATATTGAATGGAATGCATTTTCCATCTTGAGGCTACTGTTTGGTTTTAAACTATTATTTCAATTTTCAGAATGGTAAAAGATTTAAAGATTGAGATACCGGAATGCATTTTATATGTTTCTATAACAGTGTTGAATTGTCAAAAAATTATGACAAATTTCTTTTTGTTGCATTCCTATTAGATTAATCGGAATGTGATTGTGTAAATCCTAGAAGATATGAGAATGTATCTTATATTTCTATTAGGAGTTGATTACCTATTAAATATTATAAATATTTTTACCTATCATACTACTATAAATATACATCTCACAATTATACATATCTCTCTTCTTATCTCTCTATGCCGCACCCTCTCTCCATGAGCTCAAAGAATTGAAAAAAAATTAGAAGCAAATCTAGGGTTTGTATAACCCTACCTATGTCGAAAAAAAGAAAGAAAAAGAGGTTTTTGGAACTGTGCGGCACCACCGCCGAAACACCCACCATGACCCGCATGGACCACCGCTAGCCTGAAGCCTAGTCGAGTGGATCACACGGTAGCATCCTTTGGGTTTGCTGCACTGACCCAGACAACCAAGGCCTTCGGCCTACTTAGCTCTCTAGGGCCCGAAGTCCCTTAAGCCCAACCAAAAAAAAAAAAAGCAAAAATAAACCTGCAGGTTTCTTTTTCTTTTTGACCCGTTGTCTAATACCTGCCCGAAGAAGTGTGTAGCCCATTGGGCTATGTCACATGCCCCGGTCCACTTCCCGCATCACAAGTCGCCAGCCCGTGCGGCTGGGCTCCCATGCGAACCCACAGGCCAGCAAACATGCTAAAGCCAGAACCCGTGCCACCCCTTTCAAGCTAGCCTTTAACGGCTGGGCCTACCCCCGAGCACCCTTTTTGCTCACAGCACCCAACCCAAATATTTTTGGACTATGTTTTTGACCGATAATATTATTCTAATATTATTTTTGCTTCTACGATTGAATGGTCCCGATCTATTGAATTAATTAAAAGTGTCATGCAATTCATTAATCTGATAATGAATCCAAAATTATTGACCTAAATATCAGTTTTGGACATTAACGATTCATTAATTTATTTCTCTTCTTTGAACAGTTGACTGACATTCGTAGTCCCGAAGCGCTCACACTTGAGTTCCCGAAGAAACTCAAATCTACTACAATGAATCCAAAATTATTGACCTAAATATCAGTTTTGGACATTAACGATTCATTAATTTATTTCTCTTCTTTGAACAGTTGACTGACATTCGTAGTCCCGAAGCGCTCACACTTGAGTTCCCGAAGAAACTCAAATCTACTACACTTAGTTGTATATTGCATTCTGTATTCTTGCAGGAACCTATTTTTTATGAACTAAACGTTTATAAATTAAATTGAACCTGTAGTTTCAAATTTAGTGCCTTTGAAATCCGAAGTTTTCATAAAAAAATACATCCATGAAAACCCAATGTTTTTCATAAAACCATGTCTTAGAACTCGAATGTTCTAACTTTGATATTTATGGATGATCCATTCTCATAGCACTAATCACAATCTTGTTTCCTCCAATTCAATGGATTGTCGAACCGTCACAAGTTTAATTTTCTTGATTTGGACGTTTTCTATTAGAAACCACTTTATGTGGGATACAAGACGTGAATCTCCCCCATTGACTATTAAAGTAGCTGAGAAACCATTGCAGCCAACAATGGCATGGAAGAGCTGAATAAGCCTCTGCCATGATCTTTATTCGAAGACTTATGCCCTAAGCATTACAAACAGAAGTACCTCCTAAACGAGATCATATACCAGTTGCAAACATACATGCAAGGATAGACGTACTTGACGGAAGTCGAGTTAACATCCCTGGAGGGTGTGCCGCCCCTGTTGGACGGTCTGGTACACCGACGGATAGCAAATCAATCTGTCTTGGCCTGGAGCCCGGTATATCATTCGGTTCGTAGGATTCACTTCCCTAGAAGAGGAAGACACGGCACAACAATGAATCCATACTTGATCGCTGTCTCAAATCATTTCCATCTCATGAGATTAATCTGGATTTCTCCCGAGACTTAAAGTTCTTGGTCCAGTATACTAGTTTGGATGAGCTAAATGGAATTGAAATGAGATTAGCATCGAAGATGTTTTCACTTATATGGTAGCTACCAACATAAATGAAAAGCAAAGATATCGAACCGTGTTCCATTGATTAAGTGACAACGTAGAACTAATTGGACAACCGAAATAACAATCTGGGTCAAATTCCTTACCAAAGTGTGTTTGGACCTCTCATTCCTACACTGCCAAAGGTAAAACTATTATGTTACAAGTAGGAAAGAAGTGTTATGAGATTAATGAAATAATGCGATATGATGCACACCTTACGGCGCAAGGTTTTTCTCAAACGTCCTGTGAATGATAGCAGCATTATGAAATGCGATTAGTGTTTTCTCCATGGGGATATAGATATGGAGATTTACATGTAAGTTCCCGAAAAATTACATGGATTGGTTCAAATAGTTCCAAACCACGGAGCACCCTCTTAACTTGTTTAAGGCGTTCACTTACAATCTGACGGATGTGGTATACCCGCCTAAGTGATTATTTGATCAGTCAGGGATATGAATTATGCCCTTACGTGTCAAACTATGAAGTCTTATTCCGAATTGCTAGAGTTACAGTTTATGTCGTTGACACGAATCTCACTAAGACTTTAGTAGAGCTTGAGAAAACTGCCTCGCACTTGAAGATGGAATTTGAGATGAAAGATCTTAGGAAAACTCGTTTATGCCTTGACCTGAAGTTCAAGCGTTGTTCTGACGGTACCTTGGTCTACCAGTCAAACTACACCCTGAAAGTGTCACTTTTGAGTATACTTTTGATCATCCATACGTTATATGCAAATGAGACCCTTGAAGAGGTTATGGAATTCAAAATTCCATATCTAAAGTTCAACTTTGTGCTTCATTGTACTTAGCTCATTGTATTTAGACAGGACATCTCCTACATAAGCTAAAACTGCACAAGGCATTAAATGCTCCAATGGCTCAAAGTCCTCGCCCGCACGAGCTAAAACTGCACAAGGCATTAAATGCTCCAATGGCTCAAAGTCCTCGCCCGCATGAACTAAAATTGCATAAGGCACCAATCGCTCCAATGGCTTAAAGTCCTCGCTCGCACGAGCTAAACTGCATAAGGCACCAATCGCTCTAATGGTTTAAAGTCCTCGCCCGCACAAGCTAAATCTGCACAAGGCATCAAACGCTCCAATGGCTTCAAGTCCTCGCCCGCATAAGCTAAAACTGCACAAGGCATTAAATGCTCCTTGCCTGCACGAGCTGAAACTGCACAAGGTATCAAACCCCAACAAACACATAAGGAACTACGAGCGACTTGATCCCTCAACGAGGGTACGTAGGCAATCTAGGGCTCTACCTAGATGCAGTCACAAAATCAAATAAACACCCAAATCCCCAAGTTACGATTTATTCATATTAGAATCAAAGGGTATTCCTTTCCCAAAAGAAGGGTTGTAATTAATAGGCGCGTAGCCTAGAATGGGTCGAACTCAATTTAATAAAACCCTCTTAAAAATGAATGAGGGTGAAATCGAGTGAATTATTGGTTTACATATTGTGTACAATTTTTGCTCAACACATTTATTAGTTAAAAATAAGGGTAAAAAATGAAGATTTCCGCACCTAATAGTAAGAAGGGACGGATATTAAATTTGCACTTAAAAAAGGCGTTGCTATTGATAAATAAAGACGAAAGGGTACATATTTCTGCCCCTAATAGTTATTATGCCATGTAGGCAAGTGTGATATGTTGAAAGTTTTAGGGACGATTATTAAGGCCCCTACTTTAATATTTGTATTTAATTGAGTTTCTATTTGTCATATTGCATTTTGGAAATTGTCTTAATTGAGAAACGATTTCCATTCCATCATTAACTATTTAATACGTCACATTTTCAAAGTCAAGTATATTTATAATTCTTTCAGTTCTTCGAAAATTATTATTCAAAACTAATATCATCACCAACCTAGATGAAGAAACAAGAGCTATTGCCAACAAATTAATATTAAAGTTACATTCTTCAATTGATTAGATACAAATGTTACATGATAGGAGTACAATGAATACATACAAATCCACCCCAGTACATAAGGTTCTCTAAAAGTTCACTCCAAATCTAAATCTAAGCAAAGACTTAATCCCTTGATTCAAACACATAATATGATTAAAAGTCTGTCTTCAATCTCCCCTTGATGCATATGAAAAGTATGTGTTCCATCTTTCCTGTAAACACAAAACACAAGATCATAATAATTGTTACAAATTTTCCCAAAAATAAAAATACGCACTCGAATACTGCCTCCCTTTCCAAATCGAATACCAAACAAAACCAACAAAACATAGAAAAACAAAAGAGAGAGCTCAAATTCAAATAGAACCAAGTTGGGTTCATAACGTAATCGCACAAAATATATACAAAACTCAAAATCAAAATAACTGGGTAAAGAAAAATAATGAAAATTATTACCTGTATGAACATTGCAGAAAAAGAGAAAAGAAAGAATAATAACCTTAAGAAATCAATCAAAGTTTTAAACTAAAGAATAATAACCTTAAGAAATCAATCAAAGTTTTAAACTCTCTCAACCCCTAATGATCTCTTTATCTTGATTTCAATCCACAAATGACAAGCATTAAGAAATAAAGACAAAGGGAGAATGAAAAATGACGGGAAAGAACAAAGAGAATGAGAAGAGAGAATGCTATTGATACTTAACATCGCATGAGAGAAGAACGGTTAATATAGGAAGAGATAATGCATATATGACCCACGGTTAGGTGTTGATACTTTTAAACGATAGAAATTAAAATAAAACCAAAAATAAACAGTTAGAGAAAGTGGCGATGGATAAGGTAATAGTGGGGATTAGGATTAGGGTATTGAATAATTAAATCTTATTGACAATAGGGGCGGTTGTTTCCCTACTTGTTAATAAAATTAACAGCTAGAAATTGTTCCCATATTAAGGGCTGATTTAAACGCCCCTAATATAATTAATAGGGGCAAATAATATTTCTGCATCTAATATCTTATTAATAGAGGCGAATTCATCAATTTGCCCCTAGTTGACCGCACCTACTAATCACTTTTCTTGTAGTACATAGGAAAAGAAACAACCCTTTTTTCTTTTGGTTTTTGATCACTCTGTTGTATCGTGATGTAGTTGCTAGATTTTTCATAGATAACCAAGGACGCGCTAATCCAACAACCTATGGCATAGCCGAACAGTGGATGGGTGTGGTGCGTGTTGTGGTACTAGTTCTTGCATTCGGAATTGGGATGATTGCTCACTTTAGTCAGGTTAAGGGTAGTGTTAAGAAGGGATTCCGGGGCTTTGTCCAGTCTCTATATTTTGCTGTTGTTACTATAACAACAGTAGGATATGGAGACTACTTTCCCAATACGAGTACCTCGAAGTGGTTAATGGTATTAGTCTCAGTGGTTTTGGCAAATCCAAGTATGTGTATTATTGATAAAATCATAGGCAAGCTCATATCTAGGATTGTTTCCAAGAGTAGATTTTATCAAAGGCCTAGGCAGTATCAGATCGGTTCGACGACATTTTGTACGTTTATCCTAGTGGTAATTATAGGGCCTGCAGTAATACACCTATTGGAGGTGAAGCAGATGAATTATGCAGAGGTGTATTACTTTAATGCTATATCGTTGATGACGGTTGGGTACGACGATTTTGCGTTCAAATCTACCGGTGAACAGCTTCGTTTTATCTGCTATTTGGACCACTGCTGGTAGTCCGATATTTGGAGTTCGTGGTTTGCTCTTTTCTCCGATAGTGGATGGGGTAATTAAATTTACTTTATTTACATATACCTTGTGTCTTTGTGACTCTTTGAAGTTATGATTTTTCTTAATATGCAGACCAACCTTAGAACAACAGTTACAAGAAGACAAGGCAGCTATAGCAGTTGGTCAAGCTCTTCCAGTGGCAGTAGAGATAAGAAACCAACCAGGAGTAACACAAGATGTGCTGTCAAAAGTAACGGAAGCATCGGAAAGGACTGGCATCACAACGACAGACACAAGAATTGATTCAAGCATTGAAGAGAACCCAAGAGGCACAAGAACGACTACGTACTGCCTACAATGGTCACGGACGGTTCACAAGGGACCTCGTCTATGAGCTTCAGGCATTTTAAAGAACTATTGATCGTAATTTGTTTGTATCTTTTGATTTCTTTTCTTACTAGTGCTTTTGGTTTAATGAAGTACGCAAGAAACGGAAACGTAGAACAACAAGGAGCTGATCGAAACCCACATGGAAGGTAGAGATCCGAGGACGTCTTCTACTGTACACGAATTCTCAACTTGCTCAGCCATTGTGAAAGGAAGGTTTCCATGGCAAGTTCTTGCAGAGGCAGCCCTGCAGAATCTCGATAGTTTTGCCTGTTTGTGTCTTGTCGGAGTGCATAAGTATTCTTGTAACTACTGGCATTTTTAGCTGGCTTTCTTTCGGTCATATTCTTCCATACACGTTCTTTTGGTTTTTTGTCGAGTATCCAGCACAAGGATAAGAAGCATATGCATTATTGTTAAACTTTATATTTCCTTTTTTTATCAAGACAAAAACCATGTGGCTCAAGTTGGATGTATGTATTCTCAAATAAGGCTGAAAATCTACTCAAACCGTAATTACACTTGTGAACAGAAACATCGTCAAAACAAATCAACTAAACAGATAGAAACAAAACAATGCAAGTGGTTGAAATGGGCTTGATCAACGGACAAACTGCATCACCATAACAGGTTGATCAAGAATTACAATTGGGATCCTAAAGAGTAAATTATGTAATCTCTGATGAAATCATGAATTATCTAAAAATTCTTGTACAAAGATATATCAATTTGTGTAGGAAAAAGGCGAGAATATACTAAAGGATTACCCCCAACTAATTTGATGCACGCGTGACCAATAACGGATCAGAAAATGTGGAAGAAGAAAGGTAACACGTCTGACATCAAATTATGATTTCAAGGCTAGGATGCATTAATAAAGGACAACGAAAGATTTTTTTCAATTCTTTTAGTTATTCATATAATCGTTTTAAAAGGAAACATGTTAACCACTGTGAGTTATCCCTATATCACGAACAATACTTGTATTCTGTCTTTCAACCAAATTTTAGATATCAAACTTATCGCAGATGAAAACCATCAATTTCAAAACAAGTTAAAGCATAGAAATCTTCAAGCTTGAAACAAGATTTCAACAAGACACGGCTCTCCATGTTCAGATCTTCTTCTTTCTGTGAGTTAAAGTGCATATGAAGCGTAGAATACCCTAAGAAAGAGGAATAAGGTGCCAGTAAAAGTGGAAACCAGTCAGCCAATAAGAAATGAACAGTGATGTCATACCCATGGTGTCAGTTAGTATAGCTTACGCAGTTGTCGAAGATGCAAATAGCATCTGCTGCAAACTTTGAATTAGAGTGCACCTAAAACAATTAGCAAAAAAAGTTGGGAGTTTTTCCCGCAAAACAAAATGGTGAAGAGAAACACACATTCATCATAGATACTTCTATGCAGAAGAGATAACCGAATTCAGTGTTATTGAGAAGGCATGTATTTTCCTTTTTTGAAGATCGGGAAGACATGCTAGACCACTACCATAAAGTCTGCCGAGTGCCAGACAGGCCCATGCTGCCAAATTACATCAAATTCTACCATCAACCATGCAAATTTTGAATTTCTCCCTAGAAATACAGGAACATATGCCAATAATTAGTTTGTTTAAGTGAGGTTCTGAACGTCATAGTGTATAGAATTGCTTGTCATATCAGGATATAAGCGTTCCAGCAGGACTTCTTTGCTAACGTAATTAGTGTATCATGGATGTGGATCCATTCAGCCATCGAATTTTCAAGGGCCAGAATACAAATAACTAAAACGGAAAAAATACTATACACTTCTCAAGGGCCAGAGAAGTAAATTAAGTAACTACTAGAATATACCCTCTCACTCGGATTACACAAAAGGAATATATCTCGAATTTCCACCATACTCATATCTGTCAGCTTTTTGTACCTTCTTTTTAGATTTTCTTAAAGGAACTTTTGTAGCTTCTTTGTATATTTCTTGAAGGAAATAAATGGATTGAAGAAAATAATAACAATTGTTCTAGTTTCTCAAAGAGTATGTAGGAATCTGAATCCAACAAAATAAGTAGGCACCATTCTATCAATTTCTATAAGTTAGAAACTTTCTGAATGGGGGAAAAAGTTACATCCATTGAACTAATTCTTTGAAGAGACACGCTGATGATGTGACTTTTTAAGATCTGCTGCAACAAAAAGGCCAAATAAAAGGAGTCAATATTGCTGCTCTATATAAGTTAAAACAGCTAGGTAACTCTAGATTATGGATATTCGCTTGTGCAAAGAATCAAAATTTGCATCAAAGTGATAGTGACATGAATACATATGGTTGGCATACATATTAAGTTTCTGTACATGATTAACGCTGTGTACGGAATCACTACTCTACCACACCAGCGAATTGGATAAGTAGTTTATTAGAAAAACAAAAATAATCTTGCAAATCATAAAGTTGCAGCAATGCTGGCTAAAGTTCCGACCTAAGTGAAAGCAACACCGGCTGACGAGTACAGCAGAAGCCTGATGAGTAAGCATGTCAAATTGAGAATGCAGATGTCTAAGCTGCCTCTGCCAACCGTAAAGCTTCAGCTTTATAGGCCAAAGTTGCATCCCTAAGGAAGGAAAGAAGTCTGTAAGTAGCTGAAGCAGGATACCGCAATGCATCATCACTAGGCAAAAAAATGATTATGATTCTGTAATCCAAGAATCAATGGTACGTCTAAAGATTCAAAATGTCCATATCATACTGAAGCTGAAAACTAGGTTTATTAGATAAAGTGAAGTTCGAACCAACTCGACATGCTGTTAAATTACGAACAAGGATAAACTGCAAATCCAACACATGCAAAGAAGCTTTAATAAGACCTATTTCACAGTCCATCCAGTCATATCTTATACTAGAAAAAAAGTGTCATAAAATCTTTAGTCCGGGTGATTCCATCAAGTACAAACAAGAACTTAGCTGGTACCAAACAACATGCATAAGCCTGAACTCAACCACATCCAGAAACCCTTTCACACCCTACTTGCCCTCAAACAAATCAAGTCAGAACTTCAATAACCGTCGGACCAAAGTAGTCAGAGATAGATCCAAAGCAAAAGGTAGCACAAGCAACGCTATCGCATAGCGGATACCATGAATACGGGGTATCAAATCTTCCACTACAAGAACAATCAGGGTGTCAGATGATTAATGAAGAGCATGGCAAGGAATCTTGAGAAGCATAACAAGATGAAGTGCAAGAGTTCAAAAGGCAACTAGCCAACTGATCAAATTAGCCGAGCATGGAAAGACAGGAAATGTGGCGCTGCCGAGAATGGCCAACTATGTGAAATGTGGGGCTGTCTACTAATAATTCCTAAAGAGTAAATAATCAGGAGTTGAGGGATGAGAGAACACATGTTTTGTCGGCATCATACATACACATAAAGCACTATATCATCCACAACTATAATTCAAAGGGCTGGCATTTTCTTCAAACATCTAAAATCAGTCAATTTGCTTATTTACATCATTTTTGTTTGGTTCAGTTTGATGTTGCTAGCGTTTTTGCTTTACCCACGAAAGCTAAAAGCGATATCAACCAAATCTGGAGACTTCACAATAAGAACGGAATGTAATAAGCATACCGTGATAAACAGAACGTCCAATTCCTTTTCCCTTCACCAGCTCCGACAGCATAATACAACAAGGTGCAGAGGGAATTATGACTAGGAAATGTAGCCCTGCACCTTGCAGGCTTCCCTTCAAGTATATCATTCTGATGAAGAAGAATGTTACATGATTCAGTACCATATAACAGATAAAATCACTAAATTACGCAATCGGTTTAATGAGATAAAAACAATAAATCAGGTAAACAGTTTAATGAGCCCAAACCCTGCAGTTTCCATGTCATGTGCAATCAAATCCGATAAGAAAGGACATCACTGGATTAATTTGAAATTAAGTCTCCAATTACATAAAACCAGTCTGTCAACTGACTACATTTACTAACACATAATAAAGAGAGTCAAACGATGTCCCTGCTGCGGGTAGAATCGAACTCGCACAGCCCCATGCCGGGGCAGGAGAGCCGCAACAGATGGAATTCCTTAGGCTTCGAAGTGGTGGGAATGAGCTGATACCGAGGCCATCACATTCAGGTGGACTTGGATTATTCCTCTGGAGATTTCCTCGATGAGCTCTTCACCTAAGTAGGCACGATCAGTTTGCATTTTGAAACTCAAGGTGGCCGTCTGGTTGGTCTCGCTGGTTAAAAGCAAGGGAGGAGGCAATGACTTGGTAGTCACCATAAAGCTGCCGCCAAGCCAGCGATCGTACAAGAAGAGCGTGACCTGCAGACGATCGTCAAAGTAGAGGTAGAAGCCGTGCTTGCTGTTGGGGTTTGTGACTACGAGCTTCAGCTCCCATTCAACAGTACACTCGGGCCCGGCCGTGCTGAGTCGGGCAATGCTAATCGACTCGACACTTACTTCCAATGGTTCCGGAAAGGGCGAGTAAGCCCTATAGCAGACGAGGACGAAGAACACAATACTCACAATAAAAGCAGATAGAATGCTCACGACTAGGACGGGCCGCTGGCTATAATCGGTCCTCACTGTTGCATAAGTATTGAGAACGAACGCCGGTGGTTTCATGACGATGAGCTAGGTAGATCGTTCAATGGCGGTGGGAGAAAAGATGAACAACACTGGCCCAACTCAAAGTCCTAATTTGATCGAAAACTTTCGGTATTCCCAATTCTGTCATAACCCCAACTCAAAGCCCTATAAGTTTATTGATGCCTATTTCATAATTTGTAAATTAAATTGGGATAATTGACACTTTTTATTTTGGCGGAACTCAAATTGGAGACTTTTCTAAGAGCATCGTTGGAAATTTTATTATTATTATTATTATTATTATTATTAAATAATTAAGTGGAAATTAGAAGTGATGCTTTTGGTGAAAATATGCGTCTATCATAATGAAGAGTTGTAACTTTTAACTATTCATAAATGATCACATGCTTTATAAAGAAGTATCTAAAATCTATAAATAAGTGAAGCCTCCTATAATCATAAAACCATATATATATATATATATATATATGTTCATATTAATACATTGAGTGCACTAAAAATTAGAGTTTCATTAAGTCTATATGAAAGCCTTTTCAACACAATTGTAATTCGTTGAAGCCTTGTGATTTGGAGTGTGCAAGCGCCAACCAACCATGAGCACCATAGTGGGGGCGTAAACTTGTCTTAAGAACAGAGTGTCCAAGACTTGTCTCGACTATATTTCTAGGTTTTTTCTAATCCATTATGTCATGTTCATTTAACATTGGTTAATCATGTGCATGCATTACTTTGATATATAATTGTATGAATTATTTCTTAATTTTCTGTGTGATTTAATATACCAATTAGACCCTATTTTAAGTTTAGGTTTGGTTGCTATAATCTTGTCATCGGTTCCGAATGGCATTTCATAATTGGTAATTCATAATTGCTCGTTGTTTTGCATGATTGCGTACTTGGGGTTTCCATATTCGTTTTGATTGTTAATTTAATAAGTGCATGATCACTTTGTAGACAACATTTTTGAATTCATACATGTATTGTATCGAAGAACATGCCAACTATATATGTATTATTGTTGTGTTTTTACGTCTGCTTAATGTCGTATGCACGAAATGATTCATAAATTTATATATTATTCGTGAATTTATTAAGATTTGATTGGATTCAAATTAAGAGATAATATTGGAGCATGCATAGCGCTTCTTTTGTCTTTTACATAAGTAATAAGAATACGTGTATAATCTTATACTAGTTGACAAAAGGTTATTTCCTCACGAGTTTTCACAGGGAGAAGTTATTTGGTGAAGCAAATTTTTGTAATATGATGTTTTCTCTACTTACATTGGTTTTTTTTGTGTTCGATTAGTTACCGACGAAGTTTGAACGCAAGTCATGTGAAGTAAGCCCCACACCTAATCCCCACTAAAAAAAAAATTAGGATCCCTTTGCATAAAGGGCATATATATATAGACACACACACATACATATATAATATATGTATACGTATTGTGACATCCCACATCGCCAGGGGAGTGATCCTTAAATGTATATTCCCATCCCTACCTAGCATGAGGCCTTTTGGGAGCTCACTGGCTTAGGGTTCCGTAGGAACTCCGAAGTTAAGCGAGAAGGGGGCTAGAGCAATCCCATGATGGGTGACCCACTGGGAAGTTGCTCGTGAGTTCCCAAAAACAAAACCGTGAGGGAATGGTAAGCCCAAAGCGGACAATATCGTGCTACGGTGGTGGAGCGGGCCCGGGAAGTGATCCGCCCCGGGCCGGGATGTGACAAATTGGTATCTGAGCCAATCCCTGGCCGGAAATGTGCCGACGAGGACGTCGGGCCCCTAAGGGGGGTGGATTGTGACATCCCACATCGCCCAGGGGAGTGATCCTTAAATGTATATTCCCATCCCTACCTAGCACGAGGCCTTTTGGGAGCTCACTGACTTCGGGTTCCGTAGGAACTCCGAAGTTAAGCGAGAAGGGGGCTAGAGCAATCCCATGATGGGTGACCCACCGGGAAGTTGCTCGTGAGTTCCCAAAAACAAAACCGTGAGGGAATGGTAAGCCCAAAGCGGACAATATCGTGCTACGGTGGTGGAGTGGGCTCGGGAAGTGATCCGTCCCGGGCCGGGATGCGACATTTGGTATCAGAGCCTAACCCTGGTCGCGTGTGTGCCGACGAGGACGTCGGGCCCCTAAGGGGGGGTGGATTGTGACATCCCACATCGCCCAGGGGAGTGATCCTTAAATGTATATTCTCATCCCTACCTAGCACGAGGCCTTTTGGGAGCTCACTGGCTTCGGATTCCGTAGGAACTCCGAAGTTAAGCGAGAAGGGGGCTAGAGCAATCTCATGATGGGTGACCCACTGGGAAGTTGCTTGTGAGCTCCCAAAAACAAAACCGTGAGGGAATGGTAAGTCCAAAGCGGACAATATCGTGCTACGATGGTGGAGCGGGCCCGGGAAGTGATCTGCCCCGGGCCGGGATATGACACGTATATAATATATGTATGTATGTATGTATGTGTCTATATATAGACACACACCTCCCTACACAATTACAATTGGTTTCAGAAATTGGACAAAATCTGAATACAAGTGACTAAATAGGTTACAAGGTCTTTAACGTATTAATGAAAGATGGAATTTTAATAACCTTTCCACTTGATTCTCATTACTTTTTACTTGAATTTTCTTGTTTATCCTTTCAATTTTCTTCTTACTCATTCTTGGTGATCAAAACTATGTAACTTTTAGATCACTCAGTAAACTTCAACTCTACAAATTCAACAAAATTAGAAATTATTTGATAGCCAGTTCACATTGTCGATATTTTAGTTAAGTGAAGAACATGATTTGTCTATTCTATAAATAACCGTTAAATGACTAAATAATTTTCAATTTTATTATTTTTTAATAAAGATGATCATTAAGAGTAACCTAAAAATAGGTAGTTCAGATATTGTGCAACATTACAAGATAAAAGAAGACTAAAATAAGAAAGTCCAAATCAAAAAGTTAAAAGATTAATTTTTCCAGAATGCAGTGCAAAACTTAACAGAACAAAAATTTTGCTTTTTATGATAGGCAAACGAAACCTGTGTTGCCAATTTTTTTACACAATTACTATTGGTTTCAGAAATTAGACAAAGTCTGAATACAAGTGGCTAAATAGGTTACAAGGTCTTTAACGTATTAAAGAAAGATGGAATTCTAATAACCTTTCCACTCGATTCTCATTACTTTTTACTTGAATTTTCTCGTTTACCTTTTCAGCTTTCTTCTTATTCATGCTTGGTGATCAAAATTATGTAATTTTTAGATCACTCAGAAAACCTCAACTCTACAAAATCAACAAAATTAGAAATTATTTGACCACCAGTTCACATTGTTGATATTTTAGTTAAATGAAGAAAATGGTTTGTCTATTCTGTAAATAACCGTTAGATGACTAAATAATTTTCAATTTAATTATTTTTTAATAAAGATGATCATTAAGAGTAACCTAAATATAGGTAGTTCAGATATTGTGCAACATTACAAGATAAAAGAAGAGTAAAATAAGAAAGTCCAAATCAAAAAGTTGCTAATTTTTCCAGAATGCAGTGCAAAACTTAACAGAACAAAAAATTTTGCTTTTTATGATAGGCAAACGAAACCTGTGTTTCCAAATTTTTATCTGTATATTTTTATAGTCACACATCTGCATACAAGGGATGGATGCTTTTTAGAATTTGAACACCTTAATCCCCTTTAGTTCCCTAACCCCACATGCATCCTACTTTAGTAAACAAAATGAAAGTGGAGGATTATAAAGCAACCATAATGAGAGGATATCACGCCTATCTAATCCATCGATATCCATACAAAACAACACCACATCTAAAATCTCTCCATCATATAATATCGATTACTTTATGCTAATGGTAGTCCCCGTCGTTCATCTCGATTTTCACTTTCGCGTTTCTATTGCCTTTTTTTCTTTGCAATTCATTGTGTTACATTGTTTGCCCGTTAAATAAGCCGAAATTTCTTCCAAGTTGAATTTTTCAAATGAAAAATTAATCTAAAATAAAATTAGACGTAAAAATAAACTCCAATGAATTGAACTAAAAGTGAAAATAAAAGGAAAAACAAAGAGGAAAATGCAAGAAAAATTTTTACAATAACAAAATTGAGAATGTTAATAAACCATGTGGACTAACAGTGTAAAATTGACCTATAATTTTAATTCTTGCTCGATTTCCCAAACCTAAAGTTATCGTTTGCGTGTGTTGAGTGCCTTTTGTATCAATCACTGTTCTGGGTGGGTGTTATATTTAGTGTTCCTATTCCTTTTCTTTTTTCTTTCTTTTCTTTTCCTTTTTACTTTTATCATGAAAAGGAAATATCCAATGCCCCCACATGTGATCCCTTTTCTTCTTGGTAAAATCTTTGTATCCCAAACCCAACCCTATTTCCCTCTTTTCATGCGATATGCGAATATTCAAATATATATTAAACCCCACACATCTGACCAAAAATAAACCCCCAAAAAAGGAAGCCCTTTTTCTTCCTTTTACAATATCTTATAAAATTAAAATTCCAAGTTCCAACAATATATATTTCACAATGAAATAATATAGGATTAAGTCCAGATAACCACTCAACTTTAGAGCTGAATCTAAAATTGGTTCTAAAATTTTAAAATATTCTAAATAACTACTTAAAGTTTTAAAAATTGAACATCTATTTTGTTCACTAGCGTTCAGGGATGACAAGACAAATATTAAGCGTGTTTTAACTCTTCAAGTCATCTATGCAAATTTGAATCTCTAAATTGACATCATTTAGCTAAGCAAATTTATGGTAGAACTTGACGAGAATGAGTCAATTTGACGGATTAGAACTCCAAAAACCTCAATTAGTGAAAACCAACTTTAGTATTTGTCCACCTGATCATTTAATGTTAATAACGTCATTACTTAATTTTGGTAAAGTCCTCACCTACCAGATGTCTAATTTTCAAAACTTTAGTTAGTCATTTGAAATGTTTCAAAAGGTTAAGACTAATTTGAAATCACCACAAAAGATTGAGGTGTTTTTGCTCAATAATATATATAAAGATTCAGTAAAAACAAAGTTACAAGCTCCCCAAATCCACTGACAAGGAGAAAGACAAATTAATCCTTCAGTAGCTAAATATGTTAATAATCTTGAAGTGGAACACTTGAAACACTAAACCACTTTGCTCTTTAATTTCCTCATATATTTACTAATAACTCCGATATAAAATCTCCTCTCTACTGCTTCAAGCAACACAGGTTGGCAGCAAGCAGCTTGAAAAGAACCCAAATCCTCTCTTCTGCAACCAAAAAGTTGAAGAAAATAAAAAGAAGAAGAAACAATTACTATAAATTTATTAGAAAGAACTTTATACAATAAGGTCAAAAAAGAGGTTAAAACTAAAGTCCTAATGGATGGCAATTTCTTAAGGATGCAACAATTTTTTTTTCACGTTGGTGAAGATAAAGAGACTTTGGAGAGCTGCCTTTACCTTTTTGGATTTTGCATAGAGGAGGTCTGGTGAAATTTTGTACAAGTCTTCATCCACTGGCTTTGGTGTAGGCCTGTGCGTTGGTGGAGGGCTTGGTGGCTCCTTCACGTCACTCACCACCCAACTTTCCTCTTTTGCTTCTTTCACATGTGACTGCAGCATTTTGTTCTGCAGAATTTGCCACCAATAGTAAAAAAAATCAATCATTCATCCATCCATCCATCCATCAAACCATGTAAGTACTTCGGAAATAATCCACAGAGTAAACATGTTAAGAATTTAATGAAAAATAGGACCACGTAAGTACTTTGGAAATAATCCAGAGTAAACATGTCAAGAATTTAATGAAAAATAGGACACAAGAGACTAAGACGTCAATAAAGTGTGCTAAACTGTGGTTTGTATACAGTTATTATAAGTTTAGTGTCCCTCCAGTCTTATTTTTAAAAGTTCGTAACGAGTTTTATGTGCGTGGATTTCTCTAACTTGATAAAATAAGGTTTTATGATTAGGATTAAATCCTAAAGATTATCTATGATCAATGTGGAATTTGAAACAAAATTTGGACTTGGAAAACAAGTTGATCATTAAGAATTTAAAATTTACCCTTCTGCGAGGAACAACAATCATGGCAGGTGTGACAACATGATTCTCATATAGATCACCAGCAACGTACAGATCACGATCCTCATCGTGTCCATCAGAGTAAGTAGTGTAGCGCAGAAGCCCAGCCTGCCTTGCCGACTCAAAACACTGAGTAAATGGAAGGTCTTGGTTCCAATCCCAGCTCCCAAACGCTGGAACTTGACTCCTCATCATCCTGAATTCCTGTTTATACACAAAACCCGCAAATTCATATCAGAAAAAAGTAAACAAAGGATTTGACATCTTCAAGATTAAACTCCAAAAACAAGGCTTACTTGATCCATTGAGTGTGAAAGTTTTGAGCTTTGTGCAGAAGAGAAGAGATTTTGACCTGAGAGACTCAAAGGGTTGCAAAATGCGGTGCCTTTGTTTCTCCTCCCTTTCTTTTGATGTTGGGTGAATGTGAGCGTGGGTTTATGATAACCTATTTAAAAGGAAGGCTGGGTAGAGAGAGAGAGAGAGAGAGAGAGAGAGAGAGAGAGAGTCATAAAGTAGGGGGTATATCGGGATCCAAAGGTTAAGGCATGCCGGCAGGGAGTAAAATACGAAAATTGGTATGGTAAAAATGAAAAGAAAATGAACCCAACAGAGTATAGAAAACGAAGTTTCACGGGAGCAGACAGAGAGACAAAGTGGCAAGGTATAAGAAGAATGCTCTGCTGAGTGAGCTTTTACCCTATTGGTTTCTTTTTTTTTTTTAAACTCTGCCCCTCTCTCTTTAACTTTTCTCAGGTCTTTCCTTTGCCTGGTTTGTCTCTACTCTCACCAGATCATGCATATTCCAAAGCCTGAGAAAGAACCCTTCTTTCTTTTCAATTTTCACTTGGGTTTTTTTTTAAGGCTTATTTATTGATTTTCTCCGGCCTTTTATAATTTCACTTTGCCTCTAAACTGAATTTGTCTCGCTTCATCGTCTGAAACTATTAAAAATGAGTCATTCACTCATTACGTTCACATTAGTAGAAACTTGGCAATTTGAAAATTTCATATTAATCGCCAACCACAATGGCTCATCTTTACCAGCATGGTATGAAATGTTCAAACTATCAATTCATTTAATATTCATGAGAATTGACAAAAATGGGGTGAAATAGCTCAATCATGACAGTTTCAAAGAATAAAATGAGACAAATTGAGGTTAAAATGCAATTTCAAAGAGCAAATCAATAAATAATTTTTTTTCTACCATATTTCTCTATACAATGTAACAAAAAAATTTGGTCGTTAGATTGTTAAATCTTACTTATTGTGTCTCCACAAAGAATTTAACGGTTAAATATAGCATTGTACAAAATATCTGGAAACACACTAGAAAATCTCTTTTTTTTTACAAGAATTTTCATCTCGGTTTTCTTTTTTTGATAAAATTTTCAATTGAACTTTGCTTTTTTTGCAAGAATTTTCAATTGGGTTGTTCAGTCTCGTGCCAGTAGGGTTTGGGCACTTTTGCCTTTGCCTTGTTTTTTAAACCCCACACGCGCGCCAGTGTGAACATGGTGCTCTGTGCTTTTATTAACTTTTGGTGCTTCCTCCAACCAAAGTTTTAAAAGCAAAGTAAATAAATTAAATACATGTTAAATATTTAAAAATTTTAACGAAAAATTTTTAGTACTGTTTATTTTAATAAAAATTATATTCTTACACTAAAAAATCAATCCTGATACAATTTAATTTTCTCTTTACTTTACCCTTTCTGTTAAAACTCAAAAGTTTTCAAACTTTTCGTTTTAGTTTTCCTTATTTTTAATTTTAATTTAAGACCGGTCAGTAATACATTTGTCCTTGTTCTGAGGTCAAACATCAAGCAGTTGGCATCAGCATGTTGAAATTGCAGACCTAAAGTTTCAAACTTGCAGATTGCAGATGCGTGCAGTGGTAGACAAGCTGATCAGGATGTTCAGGATAATTAATTTAATTAATTTTCTTAATTTTATAACATCAGATAAGAAATCTAAAGGCAAAAACGCCAGCAGCCTAGCCTAGGGAACAGCCAGCACGAAATGTATGGCCTATCATAGGCTTTCTAACTCTCCTCTCTAAAAAATTTGGACTTTCATGGTTTTGGTGGTATTTGCTTTGTCAATTTAGATTTTAATTTTCTATATTTTTCAGTTTTGTTTTGAAAATCACATACCTTAAGCTGTGTTATGTCAAAATGGAATTTTTTTTTTTCATTTGTTACGTAATAAAAGAGATAAAAACGTAACATGCATATAACGAGCGAAAGCATATTAAAATTTATTTGGATAAAAAGTTAGAGAACCTGTTCAACTAGACCAATAATATTGGCAAGGAGATTCCAAACCCATTCTGCTTTACGTGGCTCACAAGAATCAGCAGAGAATACAGAGAGATAGATCAAAATTCAAGGGGAGATATACTATGAGGGCCCTCTTTAAGAACCCTGAATCTTGTTTGCTTGCAAGAAAGAAGTTTTTGCAGTCTTCTAGAAATTAAAGAAATTATTCCAAGTCGTTTTCTTCTTGCTAAGTCGTTTTCTTGTCGCTTTTTTACCCCTTTTTTCATTACCTTTCTCAGTTTGTAATTGCTCGTCGGTCATGGATAAATGTATATATTATCTATATAATTTGGGAGAAATAATCTCTTGGGGTTTAAGAAAGAAACTAGATACACAACATTCTAATTAATTCAAATCTGTTTATCGTGATGACATGTTTACTTGCGATTACAAAAATAAATATAATTGTTTATAGGGTAATGAAAGGTAGACCACATGACGTAATTGGTGATTATTGAATTATTACTTAAGTTTTGATAAACGTACTTAATTCATATTGGCGACACATCACATAGTTTGTAAATGTGATCTAAAAGATTGATCCATCCAACATTACTTTTTCTAATTTTGCATGTGTTGAATTATGTGAAATAAACATAACATTCGATTGCGACTAAGGTATGTGATCTCATTTCGAATTTGCGGTCTTGGGATGTAGGAAAAATATATGGGAATTTTGAATTTGATGAAGCGGAGACAATTTTATCCATCCCGGTAAGTGGAACTTCGTTGGATCGAAGAATTTGGCATTTCACAGCCAATGGGAGATATATGGTTAAAAGTGGATATTTGGTGGCTTTGGACGACACCTGATTAATTCGAATATTGGTCTTGATCCGTTGGTCTCTCAACAACGGATGTTCTGGAAATATCTATGGAAGCTCAAATTACCACCAAAGGTTTTTCATTTCATTTGGAGGCTCGATAATGAGATAATCCCTATTGGAGAAAGGTTGCAGTTGCGACAGGTGACAGACAACACTAGGTGTTGGCATTGTCAGGGGGAAATTGAAGCTACAATTCATGCCGTGAGGGACTGCCCGCTTAGCAAACATGTTATTTCTTCTTTGGGTTTCCTGACGTCGGTGGCGGAGATTACATATGATTCAACCTTGAAATGGCTTATGTGTGCACCTGAAAATCTTTCTGGACCTGTATTGGAACTATTTTTCATCTGTTCTTGGACACTTTGGAATGCTAGAAATTCTTTCTACTTTGAAAATGTAATTTGTTATGCAGAAAGTTTAAAAAATTTGGTGAGGAACTATGCGGCAGAGGTGATGAATGCAGCTTATAAGAGAACTTCCCCATCTGAATGTCGGATCAGTTCATGGATCCCCCCGTCGGTGGGGTCTTTCAAGTTAAATGTTGATGGCTGAGTGGATACTACGAATGGATGTCGTAGAATCGGAGCAATTGTTCGTGGGTCTAATGGACCTAATGGTGATTTTGTAGGTGCGTTGTCTATGCCTGCTCCTAATCTGATTTTAGTTCTTGCTTTAGAGCTTCATGCCATTAAGAAAGGATTGGAATTGGCATTGGACTTGGTATGTGTTCTATTGATAGTGGAATCAGATTCATTAAGGTCTGTCTAATTAATTAACCAAGATGAGGAGTGCTTGGTTGTTGATGGTGTTTATGTTGATAACATTCGAGCTCTTTTGTGAGTAAATCAGGTGGTCGTGAACCATGTTTCAAGGGATGCTAATGAGATTGCACATTGTCTAGCCCGATTCAGCCTATAATGTCGTGAGTTGTTGATGTGGGGTGGATACTGGTCCATCGTGGCTCATGGACCTTATCCATTCTGAGTCTGTGATCGAAGTCTAAGTTTTATGTGCATGTGAGGCCTCTTTTCCTTCGTCAAGCTTTTTCCCACTAGGTTTTGTCATCAAGGTTGCTCAAAGGTCTTTTGAATGTGTTTCTATATGCATGTCATTGTATGAAATGGTTATTTATGAATGAAATTCTATTTTACCATTAACAAAATAAAAAAATAAAATAAAAAAACAGAATAAGTTATTTCAGTATCCAATACGAGTAACTAAATGCTATTAAATTGTCCTGTTTTAAAACATTTTTGTTTCTTTTAAGGAAAATACTCATAACCTCCTTGAAGAAAAATGTAAGACGGAATTGAACAGAAAGAAGATTTCCAATTTTCGATCCAAAAAAAATGCATAACCAAACTTTCTTTCAAATTCGAAATATTCGGATTATGGGAATTTTTAAAATTTAGAATTAGTATTATTCAAAATAGATAACATAGATGCATATGAGAGAAGACAAAATAGTATAGACATGTTTGTATTATACATGTACAAGAACTCACTTTCACTATATAAGCGTGTGAAGAAATATAAATGCTAAAAATAAAACATATCCAAAACTATTGAACACGATAAAAGTAAAATTTTGATTAGAAAATACATACAACTAATAAAAAAAATGGGAATCTGTATTTACATTTCAGTTTTTTTTTTTTTTTTTTTTTAAATATTCAAACTTGGAATTTCTCATGTCCGAATCAAAATTTTATTTTATATACAGATAAATTTGTTAGATTAGATGTTAGATTAGGGAGCTAACAAGATTTGAACTCACGACGTGGTGCAAAAACAACGCTTATTTTCACCACTGTTGTAGAGGGCCACCTGCATCAGAATCAAAATCTTCGATATAATTTCTTTATTATTAACTCTGTTCAACTTCCATTAAAACTTAATTAACTGCCTCATGCATTTATGATCCCAAAACTTCAAAAATTCTACATTAATAGTTTCATCTGAAGGTTGGATGGAATTTGGTGACCTATTAAATTTGGTCATTTACAAATTCTAGGTGGTCGATGATCACTCCATGTTCAGAATTCTTATGTAATTCTTATCAACCGAAGTAAATGCTCGTCGTCCTTTTATTGGGTTGGGCAAGATTCAAGCCGGGCTGCTCCAAAGACCCGTGTTGTAGACCCGACTGAAGAGGTTTCTATTCGGCCCATTATTTTTCCTTCAAACCTCTTGTATGAAGGTTTTTAATTTTTGTTTTTTGTACCAATCCTTATATTAAAGTTACTTGAAGATAGACACAATCATAGCAATTATAGAAAGCTCCAAGGAGAAATTTTTACAACAATAACGCATCATCAAGTATTTTTATAATACATCGGTGTATGATATGAATTAGTATTTAAGCGATTAGATTATAACTATCAAAATTCAGTTGTTCAAATCCAGTGCATCTTATACAAAGATGTGTTGTAGAATTTTCAATTGCTATTAAGCATGAAGGGTAATTTCCTTGAGATAATGATTATTAGTCCACCCATAATCATTTTCAACAAACCATTAATCTAATGATATTTTTCTTTTTAAAATTGAAACAGCTTACTGGTTCAATTTAGGAGCGATCAAATTCATCAAGCCTCAATCAGCTATACCAAACCTTCATCAAACATATATAGCATCAATTTGACCAGAAACACCTATAGCATGGATGAAAAAAATAAGTCACAAGATCGAGTGAAGGCTCACGGATAATGAAGGATTTACACAAATGCGAGTCAAAGTTATTCCCTTCATTACTATTTTGTCACGCACTCATGTTGTTCCAAAATTTCAATGGAAACTAAACCCTATATAGCTACTACGGAAGCAGGCTGTCTGACAAAAATACAGTACTTGGTAGTGTGGATAAATAAGTTGGTGCAAGAGTATTTTATAGTATTAGGACAATTATCATTGCCCTATTATTCGCCAAAGTTTGGTGACCAATAGGAGCATCCAAACAAAGAATGAACCAACATGCAAGACCAGCCGAAATTATTCTTTTGAACCAAAAATCCATTCAGGCATTCACGAGTTCACTTTAACATTGGGATACTCTCCGGATTTCATACTTTGGATCTTAGAAATTGAGCAATCTAGACCGTTTACGAAAAAGAGAGAGATATGTAGGCGTTTGAGAGAGAAATTGTATCTGAGGTGGGCTAGTGGGACAGAAAAATAAAAACCGTAAAACTTAAATTAAACGGTGCAGATTGCTCGGTCCGTGGGCGCCGGAGTATGAGATCTGGAGATGATGTCAATCCACTTTATCATACTAATCAGTGTGCTCCCTCAAACCCCCAAATTACAACCAAAACAAATTAAAACATAAAAGTAATGTGCAAGAAGCAGCAAAAAGAACTTCCCGTGACTCACAATACTGCCAATTCTCACTCACGGACTCCAAAACTTGTGGCTCCAAAAACTCCTCTTCTCTCTATAAATCGTATGAGAGTGAGTGAGTGAGCTCTCATTACAAAACAGTTTGCAAAACTTCCCTATCCAAACTTTTACGATAATCATGGGTGGAAACTACAAGTTGGTTGTTGTTTTGGTGGTGGCACTGGTTGTGTTGCTTGAAGGGTCGACAGTGTCGAGCTTGTGCAACATGACTGATGAAGGTATCGCCGATTGCAAGCCGTCGGTTACGAAGACGAATCCAACTCCGCCAACTCCTGAGTGTTGTGAGGCTCTCAAGGGAGCTGACTTGAAATGCTTGTGTGGTTACAAGAACTCGTTTCTGTTGCCTTCTCTCGGTATCGACCCCACTCTTGCCATGGCTCTACCCGCTAAGTGCAACCTCACCCCTCCTAACGATTGCTAATTAAGCTTCTCTTTAAAAGCTCAAGGGGGCCATATTTAAGCGTTGTTTTGAATCATGTTCCTGTCGTGCCATATGGTGATTTCGTTAAGCTTGTGCCATGCTGCTTCTTCTTCTTCTTTTTCTTTCTTGTGGTATTACTATGTGTAATGAACTTTAATATCATGTCTGATCTCAATCGTTTAAGAGAATGAATATGAAGTCATCAAAATTCCTAAGTTTGTGCACGTTTCGATTGTAATTTTCCTATTGCATAAAGACTAAGGCTAAAGATATCTGACTACAATGTGAAGGATATAGATTAGGTTGGTATAAAGTTAGGAAGATCCTACATTCATGCCCTATCCAATCCAGGTAATAATAGATTGCAACATTTGTCGTATAATCAAGTGAGAAGATAGATAGATATAAAACTTCACGAAATAGAGACAATATAGATTAATACATGTTGGGGAGTTTCTCTCTAACAAAAACGAGACAGAACAAATGAAAATCAAATTTAAAGAATATCTAAGAAAAAATAACCCAAATCATAATTCATGTGGATCATTATTGTCTAGTCATTATATTTTGAAACAAAGAAACAACTTCTTATGAAACACCTTTTACTTTTTCTCAAAATTATTACAGGTATTACTTGATTTCAACAATTAGGTCCTACAGTTATTGTATGACCACACCTAGGGTTTATCCTTTTAACCAAGGTATTCTTTCGAACCATGGGCTAACCCTAGTCAAACCACGTTGACTATATATATTCTTCAACGCAGGCACTTTTGGAATGGATTCGAAAAAAGTTATACAAATCCCGGTTTAGTATTGGCCACGAACATGGTGTTGGTCACCGCTTGTGCCCTGTTTGCCATTTACACAAGGCTACACTAGAACGAAATTATCGTAGACCACACTCGACAGACAACGGATGTGTCAAAAATTGGATCCCGTGTTGATAGTTCAGAGCAGCAAAGTGTTAAAGGAAGAGAATCACGTTAGGATTATCTTTCCCTGTAGGGTTAGATTTCCTAGTTATTGTATACTAATACTCCTTGTACGATAAGTTAGGTTGCTTGGAAACCACGGCATATGCTTATATACAACTAACAAACTGGCATCCTGTTCCAAAGAACTATGTTACAATACAAAGGATATCGGTGTCTTGATACTACTAAAAATCGGATCTATACTTCTCAGCATGTGATGTTTGATGAATCAAGCTTTCCTTTTTCTCGGGCAACACCTTCATACTCTGCCTCTCAGTGCGTCCCTCTTACTTTGAGCCTGCCTTTTCTTCACCAGCTTTGACTCCAGTTCCCACCCACTTCGGCGCCTCCAGCGCCCATAAACCAAGTGGCTCCAGCGTCGGGTACCAATGCAAGCCCACCGCCTCCTGTAGCCCATTTACCCGCTGGGCTTTCTACGGTACCCAGCTCACTGACTAGTGATCTCTCCCCTGCTGCCTGCCCCTCCCGAGAGAAATTTTTTTTATTGTCGAGAAGCCTGCTCATGTTCCTACTATACACAGTCACCCCTTGGTGACTCGTTCAGGGACTGGTTCCTCTCGTCCTAAGCATCAAACATATGGCACAGTACGCTACCTTTTACCTCATGTTCTTTCTGCTTCACTGAACGCTCCCTCGGACTCGGAGCCTACTTACGCAGGTTGTTCAAGTCCCAGAATGGTGAGAGGTCGTGACAGATGAGTTCAATGCTCTCCTAAAGAAATCACACATGATCCTTGGTTACTCCACTCCGCCTTGTGGCTAAAGACTATCATCAACAACAAAGGGTTTCACTATGATGACACCTTTAGTCCAGTTGTCAAACTAGCCACTTTTCGCATGTTCTTAGTTTGGTTCTTCATCATGGTTGGTCTCTTTGTCAACTTGATGTTAAAAACGCTTTTATTTTCATGGGTTTTGATAGGATTTTTAGTACCTAATCACTGAAAATATTTGCAAGAATATAAGGTAATTGTAGTATAAATGCTCATGCAAGGTCGTTGTCCCCAAGAATTGTTCGACTAATTTGTAATTAAATCAACTCTTAATTAAATATTAAAACAGATTTTTATCAAAGATTTGAGATTTATGAATTTGAAAAGATTAAATTAACAATAAAAGAAATATAACAATTTGGAAATAATGGCAGCGAGGAAGAAAAACATTTTTAAAATTAACAATTTAGAGAAATCTAGGGTTCAGCCGTCACTGTCACAATCCTATGCAAATCTATCAATTACTTATGAATTTCCACATATATGCTTTGAAGGTTAGGTTTTCCTAATGCATATTTTCCTTGTGATGTTCAAGCGGAAACGTATATCTAACCTTCAATCCGTCTGTGATATTCAGATCAAATATAAACATGCAAGACTTATTAAGTTTCGTGAAAACCCTATGAAATACCATGCAACCCTTAAGAGCGTGATATTTGCCTTAAGTGAACTTACAATTACTAATCACAAGAAGCCCTCCTCAATTTTAGGGTGATGTTCCAACAGAAATTTTATCAAATTACTTGTCTAAATATCCTAATGGTGATCAATCATTAAAATATATAGATAGTTTTAATCACAGTGATTAATAATTCAAAGCAAGCATGTATCCATTCATAAGTAAATTAATAAAATCACATATTCATGCTAAGGCTTATGGCCTAACCCTAGCAAGGGATTTAGTTACTACTCATAATAAAAATCAAAGAAAATATTATTAAGAAGAAAATGAATGAAAACACCTTAAAGTAGAAAATCTCCAAGAACCCTAGCAAAGTGTGAAGTTGAATAATAATCAGCCCCCCATAGACTAGAACCGGCCAAACCCTTTTTTTATCCCCCTAAAGCCAGCGCACAAACCCAAACAACCCAGTGTTTCATTCCCACTAAGAAACTAAATAATAATAGAATAAAATAGAAAATAAAGTTCTAATTAAACTAAGAGAATTTGCCAAGTACTTGTCCAGCCACGTTTTAGCCTCAGATATCCTCCAAATCCGGCCCATAATAGCTTGTTTTGAAGATTAGGACATTCTGAACACATATCCAGAAATCTATGAAACCATCCGAGGTCACCTTGGGCTCCAAAAACGCAATTCAAGCCCAAAACGTCACTATCCAGCACTGCACACTACTCCTTTATTTCATTGCCAGAAAATCGCTGTTTGGTGGAAAAATATGATATTTTGATGCAATCAAGCCAAGTGACTCACAAACATTCTCCAACTGGAATTACTTCAAAATTCGTCCATTTGGTCCTATTTTGCTCCAGAGGAAGTCGAAAGTCATATATCAAAAATACAATTTAAAGTATCAAAATTGTTCCAAAATATTAACCAAAATATACTAAGAATAGGATTAAATATATAATATAAAATCTACTCATCAGGTTTCTTAATGAAGATGGTTATATGGCACATGCCCCTAGCTTTATTGATCGTTGGCACATGCCCCTAGCTTTATTGATCGTTGATGTCCTCATGTTAGTAAGCTTCATAAGGCTATATATGCCTCAAGCAAGCTCCTCGTGCTTGGTTTCATCGCTTCAGTTCGTTTATTCTTCGCAATGGTTCGTTCAAAGTCGAGCACTTTTCATCGCCTGAACTATACCTTGGTTTTACTACTATGTGTTGATGATTTTGTGTTGGTTTTGATAACCAGGGAGCTCTATCTCGTTTTATACTTCTTTCCAAGGAATTTGAAATTAAAGATTTTGGTTCTCTGCACTATATTTGGGACTTTAAGTGCGCCAATCACCACTGGTTTTCATCTTTCTCAGACAAAATTATGGATCTTCCCAAATGCACTAATATGATTGATTGCAAGTCGTGCTCTACTCCAATTGCCGCCCACACTCATCTAACCATGATGAGTCCCTAGTTTCTGCTCTTTTCGAGTTTCGTCACCTCCTTGGCTCTCTGCAATAACTCATGATGATTCGTCCTGACATTGCCTTTGCCGTCAATCACATTGCTCACTTCATGCCTAAGTCGTGTACTACTTACTCATCTTATTGCCGCCAAACGCTTTCTTCGATATGTGAAAGGGTCCTTGGAGCTCGGCGTTTGGTTTCGACCTTCATGAAGGCCTGCTGTGTTACAATTGCAATACTTCCAACAAACTTCAAAACTATACTAACTACCATATATACCCCCATTACCGTAACTAAATTGTTAACTAAATATTGCTATAAATTCAAGGATATGCTGAGAATATTGGAATAATTGAGGGATGGTTTGAAGACAAGACAAGCAGATAATTAAATAAAAAGGGTATTAAAATTGCCTTTCTTTGGGTTATTTTTTTTGTTTAATTTTAGAATTACTTTCACTTCGCAGTCACTAGTAAGGTGCACTAACAAAGAAATAGCACATTATTAGATCTCACTTTCTCAAGGAAAAGAAGAAGGAAGTCTAAATAACAAGGGAAAATTAATAAAAATGGCTTGAAAATTGTATAACATTGAAAAAAATCATCTTGTATAACATTGAATCCATCGCCCGACTATTGAGAGAATCTATAAATGGAATGTATTGAAAGAAAAGAGTATCTTCCTCCAAAACTCAAAGATCAAATGATCCGAACCTTTGAAATTTGATCCAACGGTAAAAAATTATTATAGTTTTTAAATTTTTTTACAAACTTCTCTGTTTAGCCGTTGGATCAAATTTTAAATATCAGAATCACTTAATCTGTGGACTTTGAAGGGAGATATTCGAAGAGGATCTCTTCCCGTATTGAAATACGCAAAAGGGATTCTCTCTTGATCATTTCCTCATAATCCATCAAATCATGAGGATCCGTGCGTTGAAATTTCATTCAACAGCTGAAATTATTATAATTTTTAAAGTGAACCCTGTTTGTAGTCTTTGAATCAACTTCCAACGGTACGAATTTTCTGATTTGATGGATTAAAAAGAAGAGATTCAGAGAAGATCCCTTTCCTTGAAATACAATACAACGATCAGGATCTCTCCTGACCTCAAAAAACTAAGTTTGCTGAGCAGACAATCATGGCCGTTGAAATTTGATCCAACAACTACAATTATTATAATTTCAAAAGACCTCCTTGTTTAAACCGTTGGATCAAATTTCAACGGTCACAATTGCACAAGGACCGTTGGATCAAATTTCAATGGTCACAATTGCATGCTCGGCAGGATCAGTTTTTTAACTTCAGGAGGGGATCCTGATCCCAATACAACACGCCTAATTCTAGAGTACGGACATGTGGCAAACAACACGTTTGTTGCGTTTCCACCACCCAAACCTAAACTCGTAGCTACTCCTTTTCCCTGAAACTGCAGCAGCCCCAATTCGAAACGAAAACGACAAAATCTCTCTCCTTTAGTCAAATCTACATCCAGACTCTTAAAATGTCGAAACTACCCCACGCATTGCAAAATTCTCTTAACAAGTACCAATGTCTAAGAAGGTAAACTTCTACATGCAAGAACTGCCCAAGTAGCCAAAACGAATGAAAAATAATGAGCATAAAAATAAAAGTGAAGACGAGGGATCATCAGAAACTGATTTAATACTTAAAATCCAACCACAACCACACAACAAATGTCAATTACAGTCATACCGCTGATAATTCCACATTTCGTTCAGCAAAATATTAAGGTTAAAAGTACGATTAGCCTAATCCTAAACCAATTGAAATCACTGAATCAGACGGTCCAGAAAGGGTCTAACCATTTGATTAAAATCTAAACCGAAAGAGATCATGTGGTGGTGGGGAATTAGACGGTAACTGGGGCTTCAGGGATAGCGGCCTTCTTCTCAAGGGGAGTGACAAAGAACCAGCAAATGCCGAATGGATCCTTAATCTGAGCCCAACGCTGCTCGTCGCCAAAGAAAGCACCACCGGTTTTGATCTCCCCAACCGCTGCAGCTCCCGCCTGGACGGCCTTGGACACAGCCGCATCGACGTCCACAACAGTAAGTAACAGGTTAAAGCCTTGCTTAAAACCACCATCAACTCTGTCAAACAAAGGAAAATTTATCACAACACAGTACAAATGAAGACGCCTCGCAGATAACTCATGACTTCAAATTTAGGATTAATAAATGTAAATTTTCGGATGAAATTCGAAAAGCAGTTTAAGAATAAAGAACCGCTACGATTTAATCCAATAACAAATCTAAAGCCACGAGCATTTTGGATAAAAATCCAAAAAACAATAAAATAAAAAAGAAAAAATGGTAGGTTTACTAATATTTATGTGCAAAAGTGAAAAGAAAACAGTAAATAATATGAGCAAACAGTAGGTTTCAGATCTAACCATAATAACAAGTATTTCAAACTAAACTCGAAAAATAACAAAGAGAGAATGAAACGTACTCGCCCTCGCCGGAGTCAACAAGAGAGTCAGACTCGGTCACGAGGAAGGTGAAGGACCCAAGTTTGAGCTTGGCACTGTAGATGTACGGACGCTCCTGGTCAGCCTTGCGCTTGAGATCAGTCTCACGCTCAAGCTCCACGGCGCCCAGGACGGCTACGTAGAACTTGATGGCGCCTTCGCCATTGGGCGCCTTGATGGAAAGACGAGGATGGCATTCCGTGACAGTGATAAGGGACACGGGTGCGACCTTCTCCGCGGCCCCACCGTTCTGGACATTTTGCTCCGCCATTGAATCTCGGAGAGTGAAAGGAAAAGTTTAAGAAAGAATACAGGAAACCCTTGGAGAGAGAGGAAGAAGACGAAGAAAACAGTAGACTAGACGGCGTGGGGTGGGTGATTTATAGAGGCGGGGAAGCGGAACCGTTTGGATGGGGTATAACGGAAAGTTAAAGACTGTTTATGTCTTACAGTTGCCCGTGAATTTGAAAGGAATTACGAAGGTGCCATTCTCCTGTCGAGCATTCATGGTAATTTCTTACAGTGGCCAGTGTGCCAGTTTTTGCTTTTATGTGTTTTGGACCGATGGATTAGGATATTTACCATCTCTGTCTGTTCAGTTTCCACCTTGCGCTAAAATAAAAAAAATATGAGAATTGATATTAGTACTTTAAAATTGTTATTCTATATTTAAAATTTTTTATATTTAGAAAAAAAAATACATTTACGACAAATGTAAAATGAGATTTTTGAAATATCAATAACACTTTTCAAAAATATATATATAATAAAATAATGGTTCGTTCCACCGAGAAAATCCGTACATACTATGCTTTCCTGCCTGTTTATCTTTTGGGTTTGAAGAAAGAAATAGAAAATGACAGGCAAAACTGTGCGTATCTAGGTTATTTTATCAATAAGCTTCCTCCTGCGTTCTATGTCAATGTACAAATGGGGATGCATACATGTGGTGCACCGTAGATCATATGCATCCATAAGTACTGACATGTCGAGTATTAACGTGTTTGCTCAGATGAGATTTACATTCAATTCTTTAATTTATTATTGTCAAATACATATATTTGAATCCATTTACATACTATACGTGTCGTGTCATATCATGTTAAATTTTTTTATTAAAACTATAAACATTATCATACAACCGGGTGAGATAAATCTAAAACAAATGTTCATTTATTGTGTCAATCTCATCTCTTGATATAAATTTTAATGCTAAGTGATTATGAATCATTGATCATCGAATGACCAAGAAAACAAAATGTTGTCAAATAATGTCAATTTTAACAAAAACTTTTTGTTCTTGAAAAAAAAAAAAAAAAAGAAGAAGCAAATGGACATCGAGCAATAACCAGTTTTTTTAAAAAAAAGAAAAAGAAAAAGGGAAACAACTTGTAACAACTCATGATTATCCACCATTTTCAGAGACAGGAAGACTCACATAAGCATTTTTGCGACCTCCTTGTTTTTTGTATTTTGGAAGCCGGAATCCGCATCCTTGCCATTGAACTAATTTTGTTTTTCGTCCTAACACCTAATTTTGTTTACAATATTTGTAGTGGTATCGTGTGTACATTATTTTTCAAAGTATAGTTGTTTGGTTTAAGAATACTCGGCGGCATTTGTCAATTGGGCTACTATCTATGGTTGATGAAACTAATTGGGCTGCAACTAGGCCCCATATGGAAGCCCAGTAGTGAGTGTCCATTCCTTTACCATCAACGCACTATTTTATTTCTAAAACAGTTAATAATTAGAAAACATGATCGGTGTGGTGTTAAGATGTATGCAAGAAGAGGTTCGTGTAGTGATTGTCAATCCCATAAATAATTATATGAGTTTCTTAACAATTTGCATATTTCTTTTGCCATGATAATAATGATATATATTTAGTTACATGCCACCCAATATCCTAGGATTTTGGTACGAAAAAAATCAAAATATTCATACATATACAAATTCAGTAATATCATTGGATGTATGTTAGGTCAATTGGACGTAGTGATTTGCAAACTGATTCATTTTGCATAATGCTTTTGTTATGAGAAAGCTATATATTTTGTGGCTTTTATGATAAGTTTCATATATTTTATCTAATTTTGGGACGTCTCACAAATCAAATGGATCCTCAGTTGTGTTAGCAGCACATGATTTGTTGAGTCAATTCTTTGTCTTTTCTTTGTTTTAGAGCCTCCAGTGATCCTCAATCTCAAACAATATTATCTATACTAATAATAGCCTTTGTACAGATGTGTGTAATCAACAGATTCAACACCGTTTGTTGGTGTCTCAAAATACCCACAAACATTCCAATAACTTTGGTGAATGACAAAATATAAAAGCCTCCGACTCTCATCAGTGTGCAAAGAAGAATGTCCTACCTATAACATATTTTCTTCTAGTGTTATTTCGGCCTAAGCACCTTATCTTGTTTACGTATTTGTCGTGTTATTGTGTGTGCACTATTTTTTTTTCCAGGGTATCGTTGATTGGCTTAAGAATGAGAAGATCCAATATGTATCAATGACTAAGAGCTACTCGCTTTAGTGTGTTTGACTGTCCTGAAATAGAAATATAATGCGACCGGAGGGCTTTGTCATGCAAATGCTTTTCTAAAAAGACACTCATACCCAAATAAAATAGACATTTATGGCTCGTTTGATGTCTAAGATTAGTTTGACTTAGATAAGTCACTAGATTCAATGAATATTGAATACAAAATATGAAAGTCAACTTGCACATTTTGTTCAAGTGAAGGTACAAGATAGAGAAATCCTGAAGAAACTTGTTCCTCTCAATCGCTACAATTTATTTTCTTCATGATTTATCCATCTTCTCTCTTCACTTTGACAAAATATGTAAGTTTGAAATCTATTCTCAATGAACATTCATTGAATCTAGTGAGTTATCAAAGACGAACCAATAATGGACAACAAACGAAGCTTTGATTGTTAGGGTGATGAACAACACCTCATTTTACCTTACATACAATCTCAACAACTATTAAACAATTGAAATAGTGGGTAGGAGGTAAAATGGGGTATGAAAATCACAACTCTAATTATTATTTTGATCCAATTATGCAAATAATGGACAGTGCTACAAAATTGGTATTTACATAAGAAATGCCGCACTATTGCCTATGATATTTCTTTATGTCGTTGAAGAACATTTTTCTGTTACAAAGAGACTTGTAACTCAGTTCAAAGTGTTTATTTTAAAAAAATATATATGAGGCTCAAATTTTCATTTTTCACACAATGATATAATTACACTATGTGGTGGAGAAGAAATTAGTTTTTAACTCATAATAAATATGAATATCATTAAACTTGGTTTTGATCGCATTTTGTCACCCAACGGACAGAATATAAAATTATTAAATGTTAACAAACTTGGATATCAATAAGCCGTCTTAGCTCAGCCGGTAGAGCGCACGGCTTTTAACCGTGTGGTCGTGGGTTCGATTCCCACAGACGGCGACCCGGCTAATCTTTTACTATTCTTTATCACCTTCGGCCGGAAAAACACAAAAACCCAGCAGCAGCACCAAAAATGTTTCCGGGTTTTTCATACTCAGCGGCACAATCTCTCTCCCCCTTTTCTCTCTCCACCCTCTTTTTCCTCCCACTACGGCAAATTTCCCCAATGTCAGCTTCAGCCAAAGCAACCGAATAAGAAGGTGCGGCACCTATGAGGTGGGCGGCGGATACCCGGATGAAGGATTGGTGAAAGGCAAGAACGGAACTGCTCGACGGCAAGGCAGCTCAAAATTGGAGTTGGATTCGTTTGCTCGTATCTCTTTTTGCTCTCTGTTTCGAAATCGCGAGCTGACTGATTGTTCAAAGTGCGGATTGCACATGAACAGTCGGAGGCGAGCAATGTCATTGTTTCAATATCTTTGTTATCTTACCACCTTCCATCTGATGGTGCATGTTTTCTGGCTCCTTTTATTTGCACTACCAATTAGGTTCTTTAATATCATGCGCTGAGAATGTTCAATGATGAATTTTCTTTTTGTGGGGAAGGAGAAAGGGAAACATAAGTACTTTTGTTGTATGATATTATTCATGGCTGCAACTAGACCTAACAATTTAAAAATATCATAGTACATTAAAAAAATTATAATAATTTATTTACAAATGTAAAAAATGTGAAAAAAAAAATATGAAAACGTTCATAATCGTGTTATCTATGTTTTGAAAATAGATACTTCGTCGTTTGAATTTTTAGAACCTTAGAAACCCTCATAAATAGTATTTTTAAGAAAGTTTAAAATAAATAAAAATTCATAATAATTAGTGTTTTAAAAATCGGATTAGGTCATCGTCTAAACGTTAGTCATCAGCCACCGAAATTAACTCATAATCGGAAGAAAAATCGGACGCGGGCGCCGAGGTGGTCAACTATGTGGCCTAGGCGATTGGGAATTTCAAATTTTTCTGGATGCAGATCGGCTATATTCTGCACTTTATGAGTTTCAGCTTTTGTGTTCAAGCGAAAATGAGAGAAGATGAGTTTCTCTCTCTTCCTTTCTAACCCACGTCAGTTTGTAACCAGTCTCAAATCATTTTAATTAATTTTTCTTTAATTTCTGTCCAATCAATTTTGGACATCTAGCATCAAGGTGTTTGATTTTTCCAAAAAGCATATGCTCTCTGACGCTAGCATCAAATTACTATTGATTTTTCTCATAAAAAAAGGGTCTATCATGCTTAATATTGGTGCGGCGCCCCATGTTTATGCGTTGCAATTTCCCAGTTTGCTTTCTACACATCCACATATTTGACACATTTATTTCTCTTTATATTCAATATAAATTAATATGTTTTTTTTAAATGAGAATTTTTATTAGCATTTTAAAAATTTTATTTGGTACTCCAAGTTTTCTATAATTAAAAAGCAAAATACATTTGTAAGGAGTGTAGAATGAGATTTTTGGAGTGTTAATAACAATTCCCTTTTAAATATTTTGTAAATTACTATGGATTTGTAATTATTTGAAAATTTATCTCATAAATTCACTAAAATGATAATGATATATAATAAATTTACGTAAAAATCTGAACGTGATATCAACGATCTAAATTGTTCATCTTTCTGTATCTACTTAAAGATCATGTTTTCAAAAAAGAAAATCTAAAAAATTGAATTTGGTGGGAAAATTGCAGCATAAATGTAAACAATAATCAACGATTAAATTTAAATCTATGTTTTATGGGATAATAGTGACGAACTTAGGAGTTGACCACTTCACAAAAGTTGTAGAGTTTGTCATCTATATTTTTCACACTTTTACATTAATTAAACACTATTAAAAAAAAACGTTATACAATAATAGCCATAAGATTTATTGGCAAGGTTCTAACTTTTGAGAAAAGCTCCACAATCTTGAAAAAAAAACTCATTTCATTTTGCATATCCTTGAACATTTGATATTTTGTAGTAATGTACAAATGTTTTTCAGTACTCTTATTTTGGGTATGTAATACTTGAAAGAAATGTGTTTTTATGTTTTGAAGACAGATGGCAAATTCCCAACTACTATAATCCACGGATAGAGAAACAAAGCCCGAGGAGCCCATCCAATCAAAGGTTCAACGTTCTCATGGTTTTGCACGATTTCATTTTTGGGCATTTCGTTCTGATGATTATTTTATTCGGTAAACAAGAAGAGAATAGAATGTATAATTTTATTTACGGCCACAACGTGGACCATTATTTTATTCTCACAATATCTTTTCTATTTTATTTTATTATTTTAGCGGAAAGTTGTGAAAAATCTAAACAGACAAAGATGGTTAATATCTTAATATAATGATCTAGACACACAAAACAAAGATACCATTGCAAATAATCCCACGATTGCACGACACGAGAGTGGCATAATTTGTAATATGATCTCAAATTTGTGGCCAACAATTAAGCCTCCAACTTCCATAAATCATGAGCCCTATGTGAAATCTTAGACCTAGCCTTTTGCATTTTCGTCTTGGTCTTTATGCTCTCTATCTTCTTCCTCTCATACCTCACGTCAAAACCCAAACCATACATAGCTAGCTTCAATGGCGGGCGAGCCCCGCCATTGAATATCACTAAGTGTTATCCTAGTTTCTAGATCCAAACACCCAACCTCGAGGATGCCGTCAACTTTTACAAGCGGTTCTTTGGTACCGATGAGCTCAAGCGCATGCAAAAGCCTGACCCAAGTAGATCACAGCGACAAAAAAGGTATTGTATGGTCTACGGTTCAGGCTTTTGCATGTGCTCGAGCTCCTCTGCATTGGAGATCCGCTTGAAAAAGTCGACGTCGTCCTCAAACTTGAGTATTTAGATCTAGGCACGAGGATAACACTCAGTGATAGTCATACAGAGCTCGACCACGATTGAAGCTAGCTAGTTATGGTTTGGGTTTTGGCGGGGTAGGTGTGGAGAAGAAGACACACAAAAATGCAAAAAGTTGGATCTGAGATTTCGCATGGAGGATATGTGATTTATGGAAGTGGGAGGCTTAATCATTGTCCATGAATTTGAGATCATATTATGAATTGTGCGACTCTTGTCTTGTGCAATTGTAGGGATATTTGCAGTTGTGTTTTGTTGTGTGTGTCTGGACCATTGAATTAAATTTTTTATCGTCTGTGTTTGTTCAAAATTTTCACGACCTTACTCTAAAATAAATAAATAAAACAAAAAAGATATTTTGAGAATAAAATAATACGCTAAATTAAATAAACAAAAGGGTGATGTTATGGAAACTAAATTTGTAGACAAAAATTTAGAAACTAGGACATGAAAGTTGATGATTGATTTACTATTTAAATATTGATAAACATGCTTATTCTTATTAGTAACACGTCATTTAGTTTGTAATAAACCAATATGAATGAATAGGTTTAACAACGTTTAAATAATAAATCAATCATCAACTTTCATGTCTTTTAATTTCTAAATTTTTATCTACAGATTGAATCTCTCTAGTATTACTCTAAACAAAACATAAAAGATATTTTGAGATTAAAATAATGGTGCACAATGTGGCAGTGAATAAAATCTGTACATTTCATCATTTTTCCGTTTACCGAATAAAACAAAATAAAAAAACCCACAAAAACAAAATGCCCAAAAATGAAATCGTAGAAAACCACGAAACCATTAACCCTTTGACCGAATGCGCTTCTCAGACTTTCTTTTCTTTCTATGTCCATGTATTATAACAAATTGGGAATGACCGATTTTACAACGTATCATGTCTTAACGTGTTTATTCACAAATTCTACCACGAGGATTTTGGATAAAAATTTAAAAATTTCAAGCTTAAAAAGACGTTAAAAATTTCACTAATATTTATGTGCTAGAAATGATAAGAAAACAGTAAATAATATGAACAAACATTAACATACGCTACAAATCAAACATAGGTTTATAACAATAAAGACAAGTATTTCAAAGTAAACTTGAAAAATAACAGAGAGAGAATGAAACGTACTCGCAGTCGCCAGAAGCAACAACCGAGTCAGACTCAGTCACAAGGAAGGTGAAAGGAAAAGTTTGAGAAAGGAGGACACAGGAAACCCTTGGAGAGAGAGAGGAAGAAGGGGAAGAAAGCAGCAGATCAGATGGCATGGGATTTGGATTTGGATTTGGATTTGGTGATTTATATTTTATAGAAGCGGGAAGGGGAACAGTTTGGATGGGGGTATAACGGGAATTAAGATAGTAATTAGTTAAAGTGTTCAGAGTGCCTGTTTTTATTTTTATGTGTTTAATGTACATTTGACTAAAGAAGAATGATTCTCTACCCTCCTAATCTCTTCACCTTTCTATGCCTTTTGATTTGAACGGTTACGGTTAAGTCATGTCAATATCTTATATTGATTTTTTTTTATAGAGATAATAAGACAAAAAAATAATGTGTGAGAGGAGGAGATGAAAGAAAATAAGAATAGGAGGGTAGAGAATCCTCCTCATTGACCAAAAGCTTCCTTATGCTTTTCTTTTTTCACTTACAAATGAAGATGCATTCATATGTAATGTTTATTAAAACTAAAAATATTATCAAATAAACATGTGAAATAAATTCAAAAGACAAATGATCATGTTATGTTTCAAACTCATTTGTTGATATAAACTTTAATGTTAAGTGATTATGAATCATTGATCATTGAATGACCAAGAAAACAAAAATTTGTAAAATAATATCAATTTTAACACAATTTAATTTACCGCAACAATATTCAATAAACTCAACCTAACACCTTATATTGTTTACAATATTTGTCCTGTTATCGTGTTTATTTTGCAAGGTATAGTTGTTTGGTTGAAGAATGTAAAGACTCAACATGCATTAATGACGTACATCCATCCACTTGAGTATGGATAACCGTCAAAAAATACGTTAAAGAGATTGAATTTTTTAAATTAAATTTGTAAATCAAATGATGTGGTTGTAGATGATTAGATTATTAATTAAATGTCGATTAATATGCATATTTCTAATTGGTGACGTATCATTTGATTTGTAATTTGATTTCAAAAATTTAGTCTCCTTAACATTACTCCCGTCAAAAACATCATTGAGTCGAATAAGTTGTTCAAGACAAACAAATTCTAAACAACAAACGAGGCCTTATTTGTTATTTTCACACGCTAATTTTCCTTTCTGTTTTTTCAAAAATTGCTTTTGTTTTGTGCTGCAATCAAACCATTTAAAAAAGGAAAAAACAATGTTGTTGTGCAGTGTTGTTTATTAATTGATTTTGAATCTTTGATCCCATTTTGATTTTCCAAGTAGTTTTCTTGGCGTTCGCAGAGTATTGATTGGACAGGGTATGTTTTCATTGTCTAGTTTTACCCCCACCCAAAATTCCAAAATATCTCAACTACCCTTGAATCCCCAAGAACATCTCAGCCGTTGATCCTCAAATTAAAACCATCATCATCGGCATCGACGGCAAGAACACTGTCCTGCAAAGCAAGGGCAGGTGGACTACGGAATTGCCCGTGAAACGACTCGGCGAGTGGGGCCCCGACCCCCCACCCACTGCTCCCGGGTACAGTCTTTGATTTTTGAATTTCTGAGACTTCGGGGCCCAGTTTCTCACTTTTTTTTTCCTTTTCTATTAATTTTTTTTAAAATAATTTTACAATTTTTGGAATTAAAATAATAAGCTCGCTACTCGGAATCACTGTCGACGACGCTGTCCATTCCCTCGAGTTCCCTTTGCTTTTGCCGCATATGCAACCCAATCCAGCAAAAAGTAGACCAAAAAAACTATGTAACGGGTTGTATTTTATAAATACATGTCAGTCAATGTTTGAAGTCAGAAAAATCACACTTATTTTGATTGCAAAAGTTTTAGTTTCGACATAAGGTCGGTTTGGTTTCAACTTTCAATATGGAGTGATGGGCGAGATCATCAAAGTTGAGACAGCTAAGAGATTGGGTTTTCATTTTGAAGAAGACTCTTGTTAACGAATATTTACCAATTTTAATCGTAGCTATATGAGGTAGATTTTTGTGCTAGAATATTGGTTATGTCCTTTGTTGGGGCCTAACCCTTATATATTTAATAAAGAAAGCCCAATAAGTATCTTTAACACCTTTGTTACCCATGACATAATAGGATAGATATTCTCATTAGTTATTGTTTTACTTCAGCATCAAATAATCTGAGATAATGTTCAAATGTTACTATTTTTAATCAACTAGGGCTCCTAAATAGATGTAATGTACGAATTATATTCATGGCCACATTGTGGACAATTATTTTATTCTCAAAATATCTTTTATGTTTTGTTTATTTATTTTATCGTAAAGTTGGTCATGAAAAATCTGAACATATATAGATGGTAAATATCTTAATCCACCGGTCCAAACATACACAACAAGGAGAATTTGTAGAGCTCAATTTTGTGTGAAAAAGGTCAAATTCATAAGAGAATTTGTGAAGGTTTGATCCCTGCAAACCCAATCCCAATCCTAACCCTAACCCTATGGTCCATGTTTGTTATTTAAGCCCATGTTTGTCCAATCCCAATCCCAATCCTAATCCGTCAATCAAACATGGCCTACGTGCTAATAGTGGAAGAATAAGCAAACCCTAATAAGTGGAAACAGAACCAGGATTGGATTGTCCCTCCCAAACTATTTAATAGGAATTAGGTTTGCGTCCGCTAATCTACTAAACCCTAAACCCGACTATTTGTCTTTCAAGTGCTCCAATCAAACTTGACGATGACGATGGCTCGTAGCAGCAAAGGAAATTCTTTTACCGTGGTTGATTGGTCGAGTCTTCCTCAAGAACTTGTTATTTCTATCGCCAGCCGGATAGCTTTAAGCCTTTAATGGAGGATTTCGTTGCTTTTGGTACAGTGTGTAAATCATGGGGATCGGCCGCGACCAAGGAAAACTTTACTAGTCGATTAACACATCAAGTCCCATTCCACATGCTCCCCAACCCAAGGACAGATGATGCCTTTCGCGAGTTCTACAGCTTGACAAAAGATAAGATTCACAAACTCCATCTGCCAGAAGCCAAGGGAAAAGTATGTTGTTCGTCTCTAGGATGGCTCATCACTTTACATATGTTACGTGATAAAAAAAATTACTAGAATACAATTGAAATTACACGAAAGAAACGAAGAAAATTCGGTGAAAATTTAAACCACAAACATACATGCATAAAATACCACTTTGGTAAATATCAATGCGCTATTAACAAAGTTTTTCATATCATGTTAATGTAATAAAAATTTTAAATACAACAACAAGAAATTTACTAGCATCAATCGTTCATGTGCATAGTCATCTTAAATAAAAAACGCAATTGATTCGGCAGCTTCCCCTCATTTTAGCTACGTGCAACTAGGCCCAATACGGAAGCCCACTAGTGAGTGCCCATTTCTTTTTTACCTCAACGCACTTTTGTATCTCCTGACTACGAGCACGAACATTTGAAAATGGTACCCTCTTTTCCCTCCCACCACAGCAAACTTCCTCAATCTCAGCTTCGACCAAAGCAGCCCAACAAGAAGATGAAGCGGCAGACGCTGCGGTGGTGCGGCACCTATGAGGTGGGCGGTGGATACCCAGATGACGTATTGGGCGCGAAAGACAAAGACGGAACTGCCCGAGATCTAGGCAGCTCAAAATTAGAGACTGCCAAGTTTGAAGCTTTTCTCAGAGGGGGTGAGCAGGTCATTTCCGTTCTTGAAGAGATGATCGTACTTGTAAGTCTACCTCTCTCTCTCTCTCTCTCTCCTCTCTCTCTCTCTCTCTCTCTCTCTCTTTCTGTATATTGATTGCTCAGAAACTGGTAGAGAAGGAAACGAAATGGTATAACACTTAGTTGAGCTAAAGTTTGAAGTGTGAATTTGAAATTCATATGATTTGCATCATCACGATGATAATGTATTACTATCTGCAGCTATTTACTATCTGGAAGTTGCTTGCATTCGTTTTGAAATTGGTTTTGCGAAAATTGGATTATGCAGCTGTTTATCTCTTTGTGCTCTCTGCGAAAATTGGTAGGTACACAAAAAAATAGAGGTTTCCCACTTCCATTTCACCTTTACATATACCCTAACTTTAATGTGGATTTGGACTACCCTCATGGAACTGAGCGACGAGCACACACTGCCCTTTAAATATTATCAAGTTATAAACATCACCACATTCTATCATTTCTCTACTTTTATGTCACTTGGGGAAAAAAAATATAATCAGCAGATTTCCCCTTCTTTGGGGCTTTCTTCTGTCATTTGGTTTATTTGGGATTTCTTGGAACTCCTTAATGTTTTTAACTTACAAACCTACTGGCCTTGGTCTTTTCATGGTTTTATGCATTATTATTTTCTTCAAGTTTGAATCTCTACTTCCTCTCATTTAGTAATATTGGAGCTAATATATAAAAGCCTGTTTTCATCTTTCGGAGACACTGGAAACTCGGCCTCTAGTGTTCAGAGAGGAAGCTCGGAAAATGGACAACTGGATATGATAAAGAACCCTTAACTGGGCTGCCCCTTGGCTTACTCTGGGTCACCCCTTGCTAGCATATTAGCGGTGGCTACCAATTTTCTGGACCCATTTTCCAGTCGATGAGGGATGAAGTTTCTCATTTAGCTTTGTTTGAACCCAAAATTACACCATAAAAAAATACTCGCAACAACATGTAAAACTTATAAATTGACATGATAAGATACGATACACTACAAGATCGGTCATTTCCAATTATTATAATATATACATGGACATAGAAAGAAAGCCCAAGGAGCCCATTTGGTCAAAGGGTCTGCGTTCTCATGGTTTTTCTCTGTTTTATCTTTATTTTAGTGTGAGGTCCTGAAAAATCACAAGAGACAAACAGTAGATATCTTAATCCAATTGTCCAAACACATGCAACAAAGAGACTAGAGTAAACGAACCTACGGTTGTGCCACACGCGAGTGGCACAATTCGCAACATGATCTCAGATTCCTTGCCAACTATTAAGCCTTGCGGCTTCTATAAATTACACGTACCCCAGCGAAAACACAAACCCAACCCTTTTCATTTCCTTCAGTGCTCTCTCTGTGTTTTCAACTTTTTCAGCTTCAATGGCCTTGAATAGCCTTGAGATCAAGGCGACTCCTCTGCTCTTGATCCCATCACCTGATGGAGGCATCATGGAGGCATCAACTTTTTTACAAGAAACTCTTTGGTGCGGTTGAAGTTGAGCACATGACTGAGACTGAAAAAGGCTTTCCCTAACTGAGATATCGGTAGATCACCAACTTTAGCATCATCATCAATGAGACTAATGACACGATTGGTAGCAGTAGAATTTGTTATCTCTCACTCTGCTTTCTTTTATTAGTCGAGGAAGCAAAGGAAGAGATAATAAATTGTACTACTACTGAACGAGTCATTAGTCTCATTGACGAAGCGCCCGATTTGCAAATCTGGGAGATCTTGTTCAGTCTCAGTCTCAACTTCATCCGCACCAAAAGTTTCTTGTAAAACCGATGGCTCCATTGGGTTGTTGGATTTATTTACCTGATGCGAACCGTACCTTAACCAAAAGCTCCCTCTGTGCTTTCTATGTCCATGTACAAATGGGATGCATCTATGTGGTCCAGCGTAGATCATATTCATCCAACTTGTTTGCTTGGATGAGATCTGAAGTCAGTTCCTTAATTTTAATACTGTTGAATACGTATATTTAGACGCACTTACACACTTTACGTGTCATGTTTGAATTTCTTTTTTTTTTTTTAAACTAAAAAACATTATCAAATAACCGGGTGAGGAAAATCAAAGACGAATAATCATGTAATGTTTCAAACTCATCTGTTGATACAAACTTTAATATTGAGTGATGTGAATCATTGATCGTCGAATGACCAAGAATACAAAAGTTTGTCAAATAATATCAACTTCAACACAATTTAATTTATCGCAACAATATACAATAAACTCGGCCTAACACCTAATCTTGTTTACAATATGTGTCGTGTTGTCATCCTGTGTTTATTATTTTTCAAGGTATAGTTGTTTGGTTTCAGAATTGGGAGATCCAACATGCATCAACGTTGTTTTTTAATTGATTTTGATCCCTTTTTGATTTTCCAAGTAGTTTTCTTTGTTTTATCAGAGTATTGATTGGATATGGTCATGGTTTTCATTGTCTAGTTTTACCCACATTCCAAAATCCAAAATCCAAAATCTCTCAACTACCCTTGAAACCCCAAGAACATCTCAGCCGTTGATCCTCAAAATAAAACCATCATCATCGGCAAGAACACTGTCCTACAAAGGCGGGTGAAATATGAAAAGGCCGTGAAACGACTCGGCGAGTGGGGCCCCGATTTCCCACCCACCGCTGACCCGGGTACGGTACAGACTACAGTGTTTGATTTTTGAATTTCTGAGACTTCGGGGCTCAGTCTCACACTTCTTCTTCTTTTTTTTTTTTTTTTTTTTTTTTTTTTCCTTATTAATTATTTTGAATAATTTTACAATTGTTGGAATTAAAATAATAAGCTCGCTACTCGGAATCACAATCGACGCTGTCCATTCCCTTGAGTCCCCTTCGCCTTTGCTGCATATGCAACCCAGCAAAAAAAAAAAAAACAGGAAAAACCAAAACAAAACAAAACCAACCCAATCAGCAAAAAGTGGACCGAAAAATTATGTAACGTTTTGCATTTTATATAATTATTATTTGTTACACATGTGAATAACAAATATTTAGGCGTTACAAACAAATCAACATTTGATATTTAGAACCTGTCAATCAATTACTCGAGCCATAGAAATGTCACATTCATTTGAGTGCAAAAAATTTAGTCTCGACATAAGGTCGGTTTGGTTTCAACTTTCAATTTGAAGCGATGGGCGAGATCGTCGAAGCTAAGTAAGACATAGAGGGGTTGGGTTTTCATCTTGACCAAGACTCTTGTTAATGAATATTTAACAATTTCAATCGTAGGTGGACTCGAAACCAACCATTAAGTGATGGGCCATTAATGGGTGCAAATTGCCACCTTTGTTAAAGAAAAAACTAGTTGGTCTGCCAAGTGACGAAATTCTACAACTTTCCTCGTGAGCATATTTAATTGATATTTGAAACTAAAACTATTATATGGTACCTATATACGATAACTTTGGACAACAATTATTATTACGGGCACACTAATATGACTAATCTTGAGAAGCCATAGAAACGAAGCAAAAGACGAATCACGAATGGCATCAACAAAGAGCGCCTTATGCACTTTTCTATGGTGGAATGATGCACTCATGTATGGGGTAGGTTTTTGTGCTAAAATATTGGTTATGTCCCTTGCATGGGACCTAAGCCTTGTATTTAATAAAGAAAGCACAATAAGTATCTTTGACACCTCTATAACCCATGACATAATATGATAGATATTCTCGTTAGTTATTGCTTTACTTCAATTCAAATAATCATAGATGATATTCAAATGTTACTTCCTATCTTGTATTCTTAATCAACTAGGGCTCCTAAATAGACGTAATGTACGGATTTTATTCACGGCCACGACGTGGACCATTATTTTATTGTCAAAATATATTTTATGTTTTGTTTTTTTTATCTTAGCATAAAATAGGTACGTCGTGAAAAATCTGAACAGATAGAGATATAAATATCTTAACCCAACGGTCTAGGCACACACAACAAAGAGAATTTGTAAATATTTTATAACTTGTCAAGGTCAATTGAGTTAAATTTTGTGTGAAAAAGGTCAAATTCCTAAGAGAATTTGTGAAGGTTTGATCCCTGCAAACCTAATCCTAATCCTAGTCCATGTTTGTTATTGAAGCCCATGTTTGTCCAATCCCAATCCTAGTCCGTCTATCAAACATGTCCTACGTGCTAATAGTGGAAGAATAAGGAAACCCTAATAAGTGGAAACAGAACCGGGATTGGATTCTCCCTCCCAAACTATTTAATAGGAATTAGGTTTGCGTCTGCTAATCTACTAAACCCTAAACCCGACTATTTGTCTTTTAAGTGCTCCAATCAAACTTGACGATGACGATGGCTCGTAGCAGCAAAGGAAATTCTTTTACCATGGTTGACTGGTCGAGTCTTCCTCAAGAACTTGTTATTTGTATCGCCAGCCGGATAGCTTTAATGGAGGATTTCGTTGCGTTTGGTGCAGTGTGTAAATCATGGAGATGGGCCGCGACCAAGGAAAACTTTACTAGTCGATTAACATATCAAGTGCCATTCCTCATGCTCCCCAACCCAAAGGCAGATGATGCCTTTCGCGAGTTCTACAGCTTGACAAAAGATAAGATTCACAAACTCCATCTGCCAGAAGCCAAGGGAAAAGTATGTTGTTCGTCTCTAGGATGGCTCATCACTTTACGCGGTTTAGAGTTTCGTTTGTTACATCCTTTGGATCATGCCCATATTAAGTTGCCGAAACCTAATTTTTCGCCTCAAATCATGTCATACTTTCATTGGGTAAAGAAAATTGTCCTATCATCAAGTCCTTCGTGGACATCAGATTATACAATCATGGTTCTTTATGACGGGAACAGCTTGACATTTTGCAAACCAAGACAAGATAAATGTTGGACGAGGATAGTTTTAGACGTACATCCACTGGATATTACTTACTACAAGGGACGACTTTATGCTGTGACCTTTGGCGGCATGGTTTTGGTTTGCAACACGGAAGATCCTAAACAACCAAAGACAAGAGTTGTTGTTCCAGAGATACCGATTGTGGTTAAACATCGTTCTCCTGATAGAAAATTATATGTGGTGGAATCGGCAGGGGACTTGTTAGTGGTTTTCTCAGTCCAAGAAATGGATAATCTCCCTCTCCAAAGACCATACCAAACAACCCATCGCGAATGGCTTTTCTCTAGCCAAAAAGAATACCGAACAACCCATCGCCAATTTAAGGTTTTTAAGGTGCCGTTGAGCGGTGGCAGCTGGCGGTTAGAGTCAGAGGTAAAGAAGTTGGGGAATAGAAGCTTATTTGTGGGTGATAATAATTCTTCGTTCTCTGTTGAGGCCTCAAACTACTTGGGATGCAAGGCTAATTGCATATACTATTATTCATACACATTTCGCGAGGTGGACCGTGAGGGTCTCTCACCTTTAAATGGGAATATAGAGATGGGTGTTTTTAATCTGGAGGATGGTAGTACTGAGCAGCACTTCGGCTTCCCTAACTTTGCTTTGGAGAGAGCAAACTTCCCTAGTGCTGGGACACCCTGTGCATGGATCCAACCCAGTTTCTAGATGGATATGTCATGCTTGTCTTTTTCCTTTTTAGCATTCTAGTTTGTATTTTTTGTTTTTGGTATTTGTTCAATTGGTCGTCTTCTTTTTGGTTCTTGTTTTTATGTGGTTGCAACAATTCTTTGATTTTTATTTTTCA